GCCGGTTGAGCTATAGGCGCCGAGCCTCCCTTCACTTTTCTTTGGGAATTCTCTATAGTTAATACCTCCTTTTGGAATTTCGTGGGAATCAGAAGACAGGGAACAGGGTGTTAAGATCACACATCCACTAGCATGTGGTGGAACTTACCAGATGAAGGCAGGTTATAAGAGTCTGTGTTTACAGGTTACAAGGAATGTTTATTATTTTAGAAAGTTAAAGTAATAAAACATCTCTTGTGTATGTACACGATTAGGCAAAGAATGTGTAAGTGTTCTGGTGATGAATCAAAGTACACAGGTGTAGGGGCAGGAGACCAGGATTCTAGCCTTACTGCTCTTGACCATAAGAAAGCTGTATGGCTTCTCTGGGCTAAAGTTTCCAGAATGTAAAAATTAGAAGAGGAATTTGGACAATTGCTAAGCTCCTTCATCTCTGTAGGAGATGATCCTATGGATTGTCAGGAATATTTCTAGAAGATAACTTCAAGTAGTCAATAGCAAACTATCCTTAGTCTTTTTCCCCCATTTCATAATATTTCTGAATTGCTTCAGTCCGGTGGGGATTCTCTTTAGTAGATCACAGCAATCGGAGGCAGGAAACCCAGACTCCAACTGGGACCCACAGTACTCGGTTAAACTGAATAGTCACAGGAGCCTTTTCCTGTTGAGCTTTAGTCTCATCTGCATCACAGCAGCCCCTCCCTGCAGGCCTCCCCCCCCTTTTTTTGTCTTTTGAGATGAAGTTTCACTCTGTCTCCCTGGGTCTGGTATCATCATACTTCATAGCAACCTCAAATTCTTGGTCTTGAGTGATCCTCTGGCCTCAGCCTCCCAAGCAGCTGGGACTACAGGTGTCTGGCGTGATAGTTTTTCTGTTTTTAGAAGAGATGGGGGTCTCCTTCTTGCTCAGGCTGGTTTTGAATTCCTGAACTCCAGGGCTCTACCCACTTTAGCTTCCCAGAGTGCTAGGATTACAAGCATGTAATCCTTTGCTCATGCACCCACCCTTCCCACCCTCCCCATGAGTCTTACACTTCTCTGAGAATAAAGAAAATGGTCTTTGCAAAATAAGTTTTTAAAAGCATAAAGAAACTGAAAACACAGGGGTTATGGTTATCATTGTCCTGTTTGATTGGAGACTGGCTCATCTTCCTCTTTTGTTCTTTCTCACTTCTCTTGAGTAAAAATGAAGTAGAAACTATTTTCTTTCTAAGAGTTTGATGTTGTGGTCTCACCATCCTGTAACAAACTCTAGAAGGTGGAACGTTCTTCTATGGGACTATATAAATAAACCATAAAGAAAAATGGAGCAGCTAGCAGAAAATCACAGCATGTTACAGAGATGAAGGAGCTTAGCTGATTGTCCAAATTCCTCTTCTAATTTTTGCATTCTGGAAACTTTAGCCTGGAGAAGCCATATAGCTTTCTTATAGCCAAGAGCAGTAAGGCTAGAATCCTGGTCTCCTGCCTCTAAACCAGTGTACTTTGATTCATTACCAAAAAACTTATGTTTTCTTTGCCTAATGGTATACCAACACAAAAGATTGTATATTATTGTAACTTTCTAAAGTAATGCAGTCCTTAAGTTTTTATTACTTTGGCATAATCAATCTAAGGTTTTTTTTAGAGAGAGTTTATCACTTTATCGGCCTCAGTAGAGTGCTGTAGCATCACAGCTCACAGCAATCTCCAACTCTTTGGCCTAGGCAATTCTCTTGCCTCAGCCTCCCAAGTAGCTGGAACCACAGGTGCCTGCCACAACGCCCAGCTATTTTTTGTTTCAGTTCGGCCGAGGCCGGGTTTGAACCCACCACCCTCAGCATATGGGGCCTGCACCCTACTCACTGAACCACAGGCACTGCCCTCAATCTAAGTTTTTTAATCTTTTTCTATTTACCACATATTGTAGTCTTGATAATAATCCCATTTTATCATTAGGATGGTTAGAATAACAACAGGAGAATAATAGCAACTCTTTATGAAGATGGTTATTATTATCTTTTAATAAATTAGAAAGATATATAGTACTGATTAGAAATAAAAGGAAACTGAAGCATAGATAGATTGAATAATGTGGCCAATTTAAAAACACCTGCTCTAGGTAGAGACTTTTTCAAAGGAGTAGGAAGATTAGAAAAAAAAATCCACTTACCAGCAGTGGAAGGTAACAAGGTACTTGGTGGTGGTGGTGGTGCTGGGGTATCTTTCTGATGAGTCAAAACCAATTGTCTGTTGTGAGACAGATCTGGGCTTCAGTTTTCAATTCAGTGTTATGGGATACCTGTCAGATGCACATGTAAATCCTCATTATAAACAAGTTCTGTCATCCAGGCTGTGGGAACCTCAGAGATGAGTGTCCAACCGAAAATTACAAAGTACACCACCAGGATCTTCAGTTGGAGAATTTAATAGATACAACATTAAAATAAGTGTGTTTTTAAATGGTTACAGAAAGAAAAGATGGACTTGAAACCATGGATCAGCCACCAGGGTTTATGCAGGGTTTTAATTAGGATGCAATCTAAAATATTTTTCATTTCTGCTAAAATTTTTTTGACCCATGAAGTATTTCAGAATGTGTGTACATGCATGTGTGTGTTAGCAGCAGTGGGAATTTGGGTGGTAATGATTTTTGGTAGTAGAGTTTTGTTTTCTAATTTCTAAGTATTTAGGAAGATATTATTGATTTTACTTTCTCTGTATTATGATCATGTAACTTTATTTTTCATTTTTGTTGAGATTTTCTTTATGGCCTAGTTCATAGTAAATGTCTATAAATATTCCATGTTGCTTCAGTGGAATGTTCTTTGATTATTGGGTACAGGGTCTGTCTATACCGAATAGATAAAATTTGGCAATTACATTATGCAGATATTCTACATTCTTAAGAATTTTGTCAGCTTTACACAATATATGCCTTGTAATTCTGTCAACTTTTGCTTTATATAATTTGAGGCTGTGTTGTTATATCATTCTGATGAATCATTGCTTTAATTATTCTATCATTACTTTCTTCATTCCCTAATGATGCCTTTCTTACCATCACATTTATTTTATCTAATATTAATATAGCCATGTCATTTGGTTTTAGAAATGTCCCTTGTAAACATGTGTCTGCCTTTTTATTTTTAGTCTAATTTAAGAATCTCTGGCTTTTAACTAACAAATGAGTTTAAATTTGTTTTGCAACTGATGATACCTTTGGAATGATTTCTCCCATCTTTATCCCATTTTCCCTCTCCTATGGGTTTGGGAATTGTATCTTCTACTACTTTTTTAAAGTAGTTCTCGCTCTCTCTTTCCATATATATATATATATGTACATATATATATTCCTTTCTATATATCTTTGCAGATATAGATATCTATATATAAATATATAATATAAATATATATCTAAATATCTATATTTCTCTCTCTATACATCTGTAGAGATATATATCTATATCTCTATCTATAGATATAGATAGAGATATAGATTGAATATAGATATATGTAGAGAGATATACAGAATTGAATATAGATATAAATATATAGGTATCTCCATTTCTCTATATAAATATATATCTATATTTTTCTTTCTAAATATATATATATGTACATATTAGAAATAAAAGAGAACTGAAGCATAGATAGATTAAGTAATTTATTCTATATTTGAGACACAGTCTTGATCTGATTCCTGGGCTTAAATAAAGTGCATGATTATAGCTCACTATAACCTCAAACCCCTGGGCTCAAATAATCCTCCTGCCTCAGTCTCCTCAGTAGCTGGGATGATAGGTGCATACCACCACACCTGGATAATTTTTTTCTTTTTTATACAGATTTGTTCAAGCTGGCCTTAAATAACTGGCCTTAAGAAGTCTTCCTACCTTGGCCTCCCAAAATGCTAGGATTATAGATGTGTCAGAATCCCCAATTCAACTTATATTTTTATTGTGTATTCCAGACTTGATAAAATTTAAGTTAATATCTCTATTTGCTTCCTGAACAAAAGGAACATTATTGTTCTACTTAGATATATTTTAAACTTAAATTTTGAAATAATTAGACACACAAGTAGAGTTCTCCTGTTACCTTCCATCTAGCTTCCTTCAATGAAAATATCTTACCTAAAGATATGACATTATCACAACCAAGGAATTGACATTGACCCGATCCCCAAAGCCCCCTACCTTACCTTAGTTATCATTGCTATGAGACTTGGATTTACTAAGGCATGTATCAGTTTCTTTGGTCAATGGAGTTTTAGCTCATTCATTTCTCCCAAATTAAAATTACTTATTTCCAATGTAAATTTTTAATGAGTTCTTTTACTGGGGATCTGGAAATAAAAAACTCTCTGTTTTAGTCTGAAAATATCTTAAATTAATCCTCACACTGAACAATAGTTTAGCTAAGTCAGTTTAGAATTCTAGATTGACAACTATTTTTGGATGCCAATTCATGTATTATTTTATTTTCTTCCTGACCTTATTTTTGCCTCTGGAATTCCTATTATCAGACCAATTCTGTTTTTAAGTGTGTAGCCTGTGATATCTTATCTCCAGTTCCGGGATGTTCCCATCATCTTTGCCATTCTGCAGGTTTACTATTTGTGTCTAGATTTGGAATTATTTTATCTGTTCCCTTTGGCATTTAGTGTGACTCTTCTTTGTGAGGATTCATGGCTGTCTTTCAATTCTTGAAAACTACCAGCTGTTAATTTTGCTCACTGCTTCTGAAACGAAGGTCAGCATCTAACCTTCTCATTCTACTGTCTATATTTTGTATCAACATGTTTCCCTGCTACATTCACCCAATTAACTAATTGTCTCTGAAACCTTGTTTACTATATTGATTGAACCACTGTGTTTTTTTATGACTATATTTTTCAAAAAAAATCTCTTTTTGGATTTGTATCTTCCTCTTCTTCATGCCTAGTATTTTTTTTTTTTTTTTGAGACGGAGCCTCAAGCTAGCCCCCTGGGTAGAGTGCTGTGGCATCACAGCTCACAGCAACCTCTAATTCCTGGGCTCAAGCGAGTCTCCTGCCTCTGCCTCCCAAGTAGCTGGGACTACAGGCGCCCGCCACAACGCCCGGCCATTTTTTGGTTGCAGCCATCATTGTTGTTTGGCGGCCCGGGCTGGGGATTCGAACCCGCCACCTTAGGTGTATGTGGCTGGCGCCTTAGCCGCTTGAGCCACAGGCGCCGAGCCATGCCTAGTATTTTTGATCTCTTGCTTTTGGTTGTATTTTTTCTTTTGTCACTAAATCATCTCTAACATGTTTATTTTTATAATTTTTTTTCAGAGTGTTCTATTATGTTAAGTTGTTGATGCTCCCTTAGCATGGAACATTTTCTCACATGGTTTGTAATTTTTGATTGTGGGTTAGTTCCCATCTCCATTCCCACACCTTCCCCCAGATGTCATGGTCTGATCTGGGTTGTGGAAATATTTCTGTTGTGTGGTTTCCTATTCTACTTCTTTGCATGCTTTAGAGAGTCCTCTTTTGTAGATCAAGTATTACTTGAATATTTCAGCTGTGGACTGTCGTACAATATGACTAGTATAAAGTTGGAAGTGTCACCTGTCTATGACACTGACTTGGCATTTATTTTCAAACTGAAGAGTTTGGTATTTGAACACCTACCACCCTAGGCAGAAGAGAAGACCCTGTCATTTCCTGGTTCTGTGGGTAGATTATTCTGGTTCTCACCTCAGGTGTGTCAAAGGCCCAATGTCACATTCTGTATGGACATTAATCCCACAGCCCACTGTATCTTAATCTAGATCTGATATACCCTGGGCAAGGGCAATCTCAGCATGTGCATTTTTCCATTCAGCTTTTAGTATATGACTTATTTTTGTACCTGGAAGACTTCCCCCTTCTTCGTTTTGAATTCTGGTATGGATTTTTAGTTTATCATTATGTTTTTTCTTAGAATTTCTGTGTATTTGAAGATGGGAGAGGAGCCATACCAAATTACATTGCCCAGATGATTCAGTTTTATACTCATCATCTACCGTTAGGTTCAAAAGGCAACTGGGTTTGCTATTCCCCAATTATTTCTTATGGTTGCTTATTCTACAACTGACATCTTAGCCAATCTGTTCGGTTCCTCTGTGAACATGTCACAGGCAGTTTTCATTGGAAAATGCATCAGATGACTGCCTCCCCATTAGGTATCATGATTTGTTGTCTGAGGAATGAGGCATGACTGTTTTCTTTATTCATTTATACAGATAATTTTCCATTGCATTTCAAATTTTCAGATTGGTGCTCTTTAGACATTTTTATTATTTATCCATTTATTTCATGACAGAAGAATTATTAAAATAATGTTTCCTGATAAATATGTACAATAACCTACTTGTGTCTTCACTGCTTGGCGACATTAATAGGGCTGGAAAAGATATGGGTATTACTGCTACTTGATTGGACACACGATGTCAACATTTACGGAAGCAAATGAAACCTGTAAAAATGAGAAGGCTTACTTAACAACTATTGAAGACAGGTATGTAACTTTTTTTTGTTCATTCATTCATCCGTAGCAGAGTTTCCCTGTGTTGTCTCAGGCTAGAATATAGGGGTGTCATCATAGCTAACTGCAACCTCAAACTCCTGAGCTCACATGATCCTACTGCTTCAGCCTCCTGAGTAGCTAGAACTACAGATGCCTGAAACCATGCCCAGCTAATTTTTCTTTTTTAATAGAGATAGGGTCTTGCTCTTGCTCAGACTGGTCTCAATCTCCTGAGCTCAAGGCATCTTCCTGCCTTGGCCTCCGAGAGTGTTAGGATTACAGGTGTGAGCCACGATGGCTGGCCTTAATTTTATTTTTATATATGTCAAATAGTGAAAAATATTCAGAGAAGTCCAGGTATCCACTTGCTTTAAATTTCTGAGTAAATTATGTGTGATGTTGCGATATGGTTTATAAAGGTAGAAGCATAAAAAATAATATCCTTATTTAGATTCTCCACTGCAAACATTATAAACTATTATGCGACTTCTAGTATGTATAAAGCAGTATTCAGAAGAGTTTATTAATAACAATCTAGTAAATGTAATCTATAAATCTAACTTCTTCCTGCTCTGCTGTATGTCAAAAAATTTAAAGCAGGAAAAGTGAACGTTGTCAGCTCAAAATCCCACTTTGTATCTTTATCACTTTCCCCCACCTAAAAAAAGGGGCAGAGAGATTTACAGAATGATTCCTTCTTTTTATTCCTTTCTTTGCCTCATAGGTCAAGAAAAGTCACATGGACATAGAGAATTCTATGTAACTTTTGACCTCTAGGGTCCCATATTTTAAGATTTATTTATTTATGCTTCACTTACTCTTCGCAAAGCCCTGGGTTAGGCACAGAAGAAATTTTTTTTTTAATTTCAATATAGAGTGAAATTGTAGATATGGAGACTCAGAAGCGGGGAGGGTGAGCGGGAGGTAAGGCATCCAAAATTACCTATAAGGTAAAATGTACATTGATGGGTAGACTAAAGACCCTGACTTTGCCACTATGCAATTTGTTACATGCTATCCAGGTAACAAAAAACCCCTGGTACCCCCTAAACCTATCAAAATAAAAAAAAAATTAAATTAAATAAAAATACCCATTATAGATTTTAAAAATAATACTTTAAAATATCCATTTCATTTGCAGTGAAGAGGTAAAAAATTATTGTTTTAATACAATAAGTTATATTTATTAGCCTTTCAAGGCGGGCCCAATAAAAATGTAGGGGATACTATTGATATTAAAAATACCTTGGTAAAATGACAGTCATCATAATACTAGCAGCATAGCTTTTTTTCTTTTTTTAATTTTTTTTTTAAATTAAATCATCACTGTGTACATTAATGCAGTCATGGGGTACAATGTTCTGGTTTTATATACAATTTGAAATATTTTTATCATACTGGTTAACACAGCCTTCATGGCATCATTCTTAGTTATTATGAAAGAAGTGTATTTCACCCCACCTTCTGCTTTCATGTACAATTAAATGTGGTGTATCATAGCATCCTGACATAATGCTGACATCTGAATATCAGAACGTAGATTCTTTTCATCTTCTAACAAGAGAGGTGAACTAATCTTTGAGTACTAGAAGGTCATGTGTGGTCTGCATTATAATTTATCTTTTGGTCTATTGAAATATACTATTACAAGATTTCACTGCATCTTATATTTTTCTGTATGTGTTTTCTATGATGTTTATATTTAGCCGCTCCCTAAGTCTGCTGTTAAATGTGATTTCAGACACTTAAGAAAACTAAATTGAGTTTGGAACATTGAATTGTTTTTCTGTTCTTATTTTGGGAATGAAATTATTCAGATTCTGGTCAAATGAATGTTGTGTTATTGTTAGTTCTTCCTAGTCTCTCTGGAGCCATTGACAGCTCTCTTTGTGCCTGAAAACTTTGGGCGCCGTTTTTCTTTTTCTCACAAGAGATTTTTGCCTGTGCAGCTGCCTACCTACATTTGGTTTTAATTTTTTTAGTTAAGACAAACTTTTGTCTGCCTTGCCAACTGACTTGTATTGCTACTAGATTATGCCAAATACATAGATAAGAATTCAAAGGGAGAGAAAGTGTTGGAATTCATGATTCTGCTTCCTGTTCTTTCTAGAGATTAAATCTCTGCTTCTCTATATTTCTTGATAACTTTTTCTTTTATTTCAGAGCTGAAATAGAAGAGTAAAATTGAGGGAAAGTCCTTGTCAATTATTTTATTTGCATTTATCTTCGATAATGTTACTATCCGTTAACTTGCCAAATCAAGAACTGAACAGAACATTTGGCCTTTTTGAAGAGTGGACTGATTTTTTTTAAACAACGTATTTTTAAATGCTGTGGTTCTCTCCTTTGTGTTTACAAAATTCTCTTATTTTGAGGATAGACAAAGAGGCAAGCAAGGACTAGAGAGAAATAAATGGCTTGAGTGTATTTGAATGATTTTATTCACTGAGCTGTATGGTATTTCTCCTTCATAAGCTCACATTTCCCTACTGAAAATTTCTGTAATTTAAATGGCATATAAATACAATACAATGTGTTTGAATTACTAATTAAATTATAGTCTGGACATAGGACTGAGATACTTTTCATACTGATAATTTTTTTAAAAATGTACATAAATATTTCTAAAACTTAGTCAAATATTAACTTTTCGTTTTAAAGATACGAACAAGCATTCCTGACTAGTTTGGTTGGATTAAGGCCTGAGAAATATTTTTGGACAGGACTTTCAGATATACAAAACAAAGGGACCTTTCAGTGGACCATTGAAGAAGATGTTCAGTTTACCCACTGGAATTCAGATATGCCAGGTATGTGCAGTGTTTTATTATAATTTAGGATTTCATTCATCCTAGGAATTCATTTGGCAAAGTCTGCTATTCCTCTATGTACCCTTCCAAAAATAGACAATGTAAATTGATCTTACTTTTGGTAACATTTGATTTTTTTCTTCTTTCTTTTCCTTGTTTTAAATTTTCCTTCCTTCCTTCCCTTCCTTCCTTCTTTTCTTCCTTCTTTCTTTTCCTTTCCTTTCCCTTCCCTTCCTGTCCCTTTTTCCTTTTATTTATTCTTTTCTTTAAAAATTTCCTTAATGAGTTTAGTGTTCTAAGGAAAAAAGGAAATAAAATAGTGCTAGGTTATCTGCCATAAGACTACTTAAAAACTACATATGAAATTCTAAATGGTCACAAACTTCCAAATGGTTAACTTATTTCTGAAAACTTAAAACTATGTTAAATAGCTATAAAACCTTTCAATGCAGCTATGAACTAAAATATTAGCGTCCTTGGGTAGTAGAACAAAGGATAGTGCTCTTATTTTAATATCTTTCATGCACCATCAGGTTGAGTTCTTTATTTGCCTTGAGTTTTATTTTATCCTTATAAACCCCCTGCAAGATAAGTTTAATATCTTCATTTAAAAGAGGTGGAAACTGGGACTCAGAAAATTTATGTGGCTTGAAAGCTTCTGAGCATGGATTTAGACTAATCTGTGTAATTCCCAAATCTGTGCTGTTTGCACTGGCGGCAATCTGCCTCCCCATAAATTTGTCTTTTCTAGGAAGACATTGCAAATTGTTGCTGAAATAGACTTTGAAAGATTCTTTGCCTTCTTTACACACTGGTATCACGAGCATGTGCTGTTCACTGAGACAACACACACAGAAATGTTGATATTCTTTATAGTGAATATCATGTTGTACCTGGGTAAAAAGCTAAAAAAGGAATAATAGCTCCTAAAAGCTAAGAAAGGAATTGATTACTTGGCTTAATACATCCTAATCTTCGAGAGTTACTTTCATTTGCATTCTCAGCTTTCAATGAGGAAACTAAATCAATTATCTTGATAGTATGATTATAATTTATTAAATTATTGAACTTTCTGAAAGTTTCAGTTCATTTTGAAAAAAGTTGGGTAGTATAATAAGAGCTGATTGTATACTATTAAAAAATAGTAGTAGGAGCAGTCTGCTTCTCTAGGTCAGACTTTTTGAGCCTTTTTTATGTCATGGCACACTTGAACCTAGAGTTAAACTTGCATGGCATAATTAAATTATGTTGATCAAAAAAAGTAAAACAAAGAGAATATACTTATGGTGCTTTGAACTTCTTTGGAAAATAATTTAATTAATGATCTTTAAAAAATTTCACGGTACACCTAAGATCCTCTCACACCACACCTGTGTGCCATGGCACGCCAGTTGAAAATCACCATGAAACTACTTCACTTTGCCCAGGTTGCTCATTCAGCAGTGGGATTCTGAGTGGTTAACCCGGGAATAACCCTGTGGAATAAAAATGGGTCAGATTGGAGCTACAACTCAGTTGCAGCCATTGTTAAGATTCACCCTTGATGGAAGGGTGGTGGTTCACTCTTAAAGAAGGCTGACCTCTTTGAATGAGTGGAGGTGTGAGTGAGGGGCCCTGGCCTGCTGACCCATTTTGGAGCCCCATGGAGCGCCATAGCCTCAGGGGTCATCTCTTAGAAATACCAGGTTTCAATTCAGTACTGCAAAGGCAAGCAGGCCATCATAGGAAACAGGCAAACTCTTATGGTGTCAGGAGATCAGAGATCAGAGAAAATATTCTGAAAAAGGTGTGCCTGTCCAGAACTTTGAGAAGGACATCTGACCACTTAATGTCTTTTCAAAAGACTAAGAATCAAAAAATTAGTTCATCTTAGCAGCAAGGAATCCTGATGTTTTCAACGTTCTTAGTTAGTTACTCTTTGGAAATAACTACCACTGTAAAACAGAATTATAAACTATTAAGCTTAGTCCATGCCTCATTTTATTTTATTTACTTCTTTGTTCATTAAGGCTGGCATTCCTCACACTACATAAGGTGGGTCTTGATATTTGCATTTTAAGATGAGGAAGCAAGTTCAGAGTTAACTTACTGAACATCTCTAGCTCATGTGTGGCTCCTTTTGAAGTCTGGGAAGACCTTTGATCCTGGAAGACCTATGTGGAAGGGGAGGACAAGGGTCTTAAAGAATTAAAAAAGAAGGAAAGAAAGGAAGAGAGGGAGGGAGGAAGGAAGGAAGGATGAAAGAAAGGGAGAAAGGGGAAGGAAGGAAGGGAGGAAGGAAGGGAAGAAAAGGTAGGAGAGAAATATTAAATCACAATTTTTACCATGTATGGTCAATTTGATCATATAAAAATATCATTATATGACTAAGTAGGGGGGCACTCTGCCAGATGTTAGAAATATAAAATGTTTTCAGCCCCCCTACATTTGAGATCACAATTAAGTTGTGGACATAGACCACACAAATAAAAGGCAAACAACAGTTCAAAATAGCACAACCAATTGACATCTGCTCCAAGGCGTGGCCCTCTGCATTTCTAGGCACATGAAGACTTTCCCACATACTGTGATGCTCACCTTGGAACTATCTTTACCTGTGAAGTGAATTTCACTTTGTTTCTCCTACAGGGCGAAAGGCTGGGTGTGTTGCCATGAGAACCGGGATGGCAGGGGGCTTATGGGATGTTTTGAAGTGTGATGAAAAGACTAAATTTGTGTGTAAACACTGGGCGGAAGGAGTGACCCGGCCACCGGAGCCCACAACGACTCCCGAACCCAAATGTCCAGAAAACTGGGGTACCTCGAGTAAAACTAGCTTGTGTTACAAGGCAAGTATTGATCACGGGGCTAATAAACAAAATGTGGAATAGGCTTCAGCCTCAAGCATCACCTAAGGACTTAAAAAATAAACAAACAATAAAACCAAAACATGCTGCCCAAGATCTACCTGTAGAGATTCTGATTTCCTTGACCCAGCCAGCTCTTGTTTTTAAACAGACGGTTGATTGGACATGAATCATCAGTTGCATTTAAACCACAAACACGATCAACCCCACAAACCCATCTCACAGATGTCTTTTCTCTCCAGCTTTGCCTCTATCATTCCCTCTCTGCTTCTCTTTTCTCCTCCAGATTTTCAAGGTCTGATCTGGACTCACAATTCTTGTCTTCGAGATAGAAATTTCTCTTCTCCCGCAGGCAATCTGATTACCTCTCATGCTCTTCTAGTCCATGTTTTTAGCTAACTTAGTTCATGAACTAATCTGCAGTAATGCCACATGGGTACTCTAGAGAGAATGCCCCTTTTTTTCCTCTGACTTATTGATAAAACATGGCTTCCCTATCCCATTCAATGACAATCTGATGTTCTGCTGTTATTATATACATTTCTAGGTTGGGCCATTCGTTTTTCTGTAAGACAGTTTAATGAGGCTGATGAATTGCATCAGAGTGAGGTTGTCTAGTCTTTTCTACCTCAAGAGTAGAGGCAGATGAGTCAGTTTCTGCTATTAATAGCCATAGAGACCCAGGAGCTGTTAAATCCACTGTGGCTAGTCAGGGCTAAAAACATAATTTACATAGAGGGGAATGCATCTGGCCAAGACAGAAGAGATTTGTAAGTTGATTATTTGAAGACTGACACAGAGGAAATCAAGTATTTTCTTACATTATCTCTGGGAACTTCTGAGTGAGGATACAAAGGCCAGATTCATCCTATTCACAGCTCCCTGCCTCAGGCTGTGGAGATTTGTTGATGGTTTTTAGAGAGAAGCAGCCTAACTCTCCAGAGCTGGGAAGTGAACCAGGAGTTCCGGTAGGGAGTACATCCACATGGTGGGTGTTGCGTAGATTAAAATGTGTGCCTGACCAGAAATCAGGCAGTTTTAGAGATGTTTAGATAGTATTAGTTTGGAAATACGTAGATCACATCTGTGCCTGTAATTATGAAGATGTGAGAATTATTGATAAAATCCAGCTGATAGTACATTTATTTAAGAACATAAAATCTCATGTCATGGTCTGGCAAATCAAGGTGCTCTCAGGTGTCTTGGAGGCTATTTACATGGATGTTTGCTTGAGACACCTTTTTCAAGAGAGCTCAAGTTAGGAATGATGTGAAGGTTGCCTTGGGTTGGATGATGCTAGCTAGGGCAGCTATAGTCCCTTGGAAGCAAGTTCCTTTTTTCACAGGTATATGAGGTGTGAGCCACAACTCAGGAAAAATAATGAATGAAAATTATAAAAGTCAGTAGCTATAATCAACTCCTTATTGTTTGCATGCTGGTAGGTGTGTCCTGGACTGTTGCTGTTGATTACATTTCACTATTCTACATGCAGTTCTCTGGATGTTATGACATAGCCCCTAACTTATATAACCTATTTAATTTAGCACCTAACATATCCCTACCAAATGAATGTCTGTTAATAGTTAAAATATATTGGGTGGTGCCCATAGCTCAATGGGTAGGGCCCTGGCCATGTACACCCAGGCTGGCAGGTTCAAACTCAGCCCAGGCCAGCTAACCAACAATAACAACTGCAAACAAAAAATAGCCCAGAATTCTGGCAGGTGCCTGTAGTCTCAGCTACTTGGGAGGGTGAGGCAAGAGAATTGCTTAAGCCCAAGAGTTTGAGGTTGCTGTGAGCTGTGATGCCATGGCCCTCTACCAACGGCAACATAGTGAGACTCTGCTAAAAAAAAAAAATAGTTAAAATACATAATCATAAAGAAAAATACTAGGCTCATTTCAATGTCACTTTTCATACTTAGCTGATTTAACCCTGTTCCTACCAAAAGCTCTATACCTAACTCATATGTTTAAACCTCCTAAGATTTTAATCTAATATCCCCTTCCACTAAAAAATAATATTATTTTAGATAATAATTTTGTTTTCTCAACAAAATAATCCCCTAGTTTTATTGTACAAATACTTGTAAATTGATTGTAAATCAAGAAGATGACATTACTCGGGCCATTATGATGTCTTTTCTATGAGTCTCATCAAAAGTAAATAGTTGTTTCTCTTGATTTGACAAGTTATGAAGTGTAAAATAACTTCTGAAACCTTATCATGTTTAGCTGTATGCAAAAGGAAAACATGAGAAGAAAACATGGTTTGAATCTCGAGATTTTTGCAAAGCTCTGGGTGGAGATCTGGCTACGATCAATAATAAAGAGGAACAGCAGGTGATATGGCGATTGGTAACGTAAGTACCTTTTCCATATAATACTCCTTCCTTTTGCCTATTTGGTGTTAATAATACTGAGAAAATTCGACTACATTTATGAAATTTTGGGTTTAGGATGCTACACTGAGTAACCCTATCATCTTCCAAATTCACAGCCCTTTTTGACCTTTTTCACTTCTATATTCGGTCATAAATTGCTCTGTGAAGTACAAGGCACTCAGTACATGTTTGTTGAATGAGTGAATGAATGACCACTGTTCAATGCTTTGTGCTATTTGTTCTCAAGTAGTGGCCCATTTTTAGGAAATTTATGGGTAGAACCCAAATGAACCCTCTCTTGCAGAAAGCTTATATTTAGTTATTAAATCTCTTTACTTCTGCACTGCTAATTTAAGTAGTGGAGGTACAGATCTCATTTCACACAGTAGTATGTGCTTTCTTTATGTTTTGGCTATTACAGGACAAGTGGAAGCTACCATGAACTGTTTTGGTTGGGCCTGACATATGGAAGCCCTTCAGAGGGCTTTACTTGGAGTGATGGTTCTCCTGTGAGTAATTTGACTTCATGTATCCTTTTTGTACCTTATTGTGTTATTATTTTGATGTTGTCTGTTGGGTTAATCCACACTTCTAGTAAGGCAGGTCATTACAATGGTCAGAGACATTTTTCTATGTGGAATAAGCATCTTTTGCATAGATGTCATTCAAGGCATTGTCATATTGACTAGAGGAAAGAAATTAAAAGGAAAACTCATGCCCTTCATTTACATAAAATAATGCTTTCATTCTACCGTGCAACATTGGCATGCAGGTGAACTCTTAAAATCTGAGTGTGTTTTTGCTTCTCAAATGTAGATTAGTAGAAATGGAAACTTTTTTAATATTCCCATTTATGACCATTAGGCTTTGTTGGACTTCTGCATTCTCAGAAATGGAGAAGTGAGAGCTTATGGCACAAGCTGGCCATATTTAGAAGCCCCGGTCATCAAAGGAAGAGATTTTGTATAATTTCAGTTCTTTCTCATCTTCTAACCCACCAGCAATTTTTTAAGGCACTTAGATAAGGTAGTTTATTGGATGACTCCATTGATAGTGGGATTTTATATTTACAGCTCTGGGAAATACCATGTTTAGTCTAAGACACGATGGGCTCTGATTCCACATTGAGAACTCCATAAAGGACCTAAACCATGCCTCCATTTGGCAAAGTCTGGTAGCCTTGTTAGCAATATATTATAGGTCTTTTTCTTTTGCAAGAAGAATTATTTGTATTTTTTTCCTCCTGCCCAGTTAATGAAGCAAAAGCTTCCAACAACACCCTGAAATATTATCCTTTACAACTGGGTTGTAAATTTAGCAGCTCCCAATACTAACTGGAATGTTTTTTTGCCAAGTCTTTCCTGCATATAAATCCTACTTTTGCAACCCTTGGATTCATTCTTTTTAATAAGAGGAAAGATGATTTTATAATAATCAAATGCATACTCTATTCAATTTCACAAATTTCCATATAAAAAAAGTTATTTCCACCCATGTGTATGAACTGTGCTTTCTTTTTCTATTAGGGTAGGCACTGGACTGACAATGGTTTATGGCTATCGGGTAGGCACTGGACTGACAAACAGTTATGGTTATTTAATCTTTCTAATGTAGGTTTCATATGAAAACTGGGCTTATGGAGAACCTAATAATTATCAGAATGTTGAATACTGTGGTGAGTTGAAAGGTGACCCCAGTATGTCCTGGAATGATATTAACTGTGAACACCTTAACAACTGGATTTGCCAGATAAAAAAAGGTATGCTCATCTGATCACCTGTCCTTTCCTTTAACTCAGATGGGAGAACTAAACTCCTGACAATGCTAGTATCTTTCCTTTCTTAGCAGAACCAGGAAAACAAAATAGCAAAATAAGGGAACTGTCAGGGCCCATCCTTTCACAGGATAAGAATGAAGTTGCCGAGCTCAGATAAATGTTCCAAAGGAACAGAAGATCAAAAGGCCACCCAGAAATCCTGGACCAGAGTCACGTCCTCCAAAATAGTTCCCACAAGCTGCTCTGATTCCGGTCCAGGCTCTATAGTCACAGAAGTGGGTGGGTGTCCTACACTGTAAGCAGAGTCATTAAAATGCAATTTCTTTTTTTGGAATTTTCACCTTCTGACCATCTATGTTAGTCATCAAACAGGTGAAAGTTGCCCCAAGTCTGAGTATTCTAAGTATTGATTTCTCAAGTAATCATTCAACACAAAGAACAAGTACCATGTGGGAGGCTGTGATGCTATTATACCCACCATGTTATTGATGGTAAAAAAAAAAAAAAAAAAAGGAATGCTATCTCTCATTATCCATGACTCAGAAAATTCCATATATCCAAGTCAGACATGGAGGTCACAGGATTCAGGGTCTAAGGTCAAGATAAATAAACAAACCTATTCTCAAACCAAAATATACATCGACTTCCTCCGCTGTAAACAGATAAATGGAACTGTATTGTCCTCTGCTATTGCAAAATCTTGGCAACTTTCCTAACTCTATGGCTAGAGATACCTTAGTGCTTTGCTCATTTCCATTACTTTTTCTGCTTAGATTATCGCTTTCAGAGTTTCCAGAATAGAGGAATCAGTGGTGGCCCATTGTTTTGTAAAGGTCTCCTAGCTACCAATGGCTAGTATCCTTTTTATATTATTAGAAACTCTAACTCTTGCAGATGTTAAATACATTAACCCCAAAGTTAGGTAACCAGAATTCCTTTATCAGATTCTAATAAAATCCAGATATGTCATTAAGTGCTTGGAAAGGAAAATGGTTTATTTAACATTTAGTAAAACATACATTTACTAAAAATAGGATTCTTTAAAGAAAATATATTGCACAATTCATAAATAGTTCATGTGTCATAGTTTTAAATAATGAAATTGTAAGTAATTTCATAGCTAATTAGAAGAAGTTTGATTGGAAACTAACATCTAATAGATGCCTTTTCTATACTAATAACTCATAGTTTGCCCCATCTATTGACACAAATTGAGAATCCCTTTTGTAGCTGACAAAATTAAGGCTAACTAATTAAGACCAAGTTTTTGGGATTTGATTCTAGGCTTCCTGGTTCTAAAACTCGTAGTTTTTTCTTTCTTTTCTGTGATAGTACTTGCATCTGAAACCCAGTTTCTGGTGGCTGTTATTGCACTTGGTTTGTTCAGCTTTTAACACCTAACTCTCTTTTCCTTTATTCTACTGTCTACAATGTCCTAACCTGACTGCAGAGAGGGAAGCAAATGCAAAAAAAAAAAAAAAATTATTATTAAGTTTTTAACAATATTGACCCATGAACATAGTGAAAATAGAAGGAAATGTGACAGCAGACAGCCACATCACTCTGTGCCTAATACTTTCTTGTTTTACAGGACAGACACCAAAGCCCGAGCCAACACCCGCTCCTCAAGACAGTAGGTGTTTTCTTACTTTCTGATCTCTATATTGATAGCCTTTTTTCTGTTTTCTTAAGGAAAAGATGACTTACCGTAGGAAGATGGAGTGTATGTGTTCTTAATACCATTGTGACTCTGAGAGGAAAGTTCAGATCTTCTTCTTCAGAGAGAAACTCATATGCACAAACACAAAAAATGTTAATAGAATTTCTCAAGAGTTCCAGGAGCAACTCTAAGGGCCCAGCTTTCTCCTTCTTCATCATATATATTAGTTTGCAAAGGCTGCTATAGCAAAGTGCCGTGAATGTGGTGTCATAGGATGATGCATATTTATTCCCTTACAGTTCTGGAAATCAGCTATCTGAAATTGTTTCACTGAGCCAAAGTCCAGGTGTCAGCAGGAGCATGCTCCCTTCAGAGGCTCTAAGGAAGAATCCCCGCTTCTGCCAGCTTGAAGAGCTTGCACTCATTGGCCTGCAGCCCCTTCCTTGCACTCATTGGCCCGTGGCCCCTTTCAGTCACTGGCCCCTTCCTCCAGCTTCAGAAGCTGCAGTCTGTCATCTCGAGTCAGAGATCACATTGCCTCCATCTCATGTAGTCAAATCTTCCCCATCCTCCCACTATAAGGACACTTGTTATTACTTTTAGGTCCTATCTGGCGAATCCAGGATAATATCTTCATCTCAAATTGCCTAACTTAATCACCTCTACAAAGTTTCTTCTTCCATATAAGATAACAGGCACAGGTCCTCAGATTCAGGACCTGGTTATCTTTGGGAACCTTTATTCAACCTATAGAACCATCAAATCCTGTGGTTTGGAAAAAGCCTAAGGAATCCTCCTAATGAGTGAATCCCTAATCACTAGGTTCTCTGATTCTACCCTGTTGACAGCCAAGTCCATCTCCTGGAAGTTCTTTCTCATATTAGGACAGGATCTGCTTTTTTAGAGTCCCCAGTTCTTGATGTAGAACATCATGGTGCATGCAGGCACACCATCTCATTTACATGTCCTATTGATGAAAGTGACACTGGGAGTTCTTTGCCCAGTGATGACACATGAAATTTAGTCAGGAAGAAAATAAATGGCTAATTTTTATAAGATTGGTAGAAAGCAGATGTTTGTCTTTAGATAGTTCAGTCTAGATTTGACTTAAGACATTCTGCTTATTCTGAGCTCTCAGCATTGCTGAGACCTCTCATGGAGCTACTCTGTCCTTTTTACTTTTGTGTACCATAGATACCAGATTCTTAACTTTGTCAAAGAAGAACTCAGTACCTTTCTCATTCATTTCTCAGATCCAGCAGTGACTGAAGATGGCTGGGTTATTTACAAAGACTACCAGTATTATTTCAGCAAAGAGAAGGACACCATGGACAATGCACGAGCCTTTTGCAAGAGGAATTTTGGTGATCTTGTTTCTATTCGAAGTGAAAGTGAAAAGAAGTTCCTATGGAAATATGTAAGAACATGATTAATTTAAGAATGAAATGGTCATATGTGATAGGCATACAGAGTGTCTACAATTGGTACCCCATGGCAGAGTTTCTAATTTTGTGCTGCATTTATACCTCTTGAAGTCAGAGGTGAAGATGTGAATACCATTGGGAAGAGGAGGCTGTTATGGAAATAATGTCTTAAAGGTTTAAGTATTTAGCACAGCATTCCAGAACCCAGAAACATTTGGCAGCTTTGAGTTCACTGTTCAGTGATTTGAAATTTGCAAAGATTATAATTCTTCTTTTTTTTTTTTTAATTTGAGCCAGTCTCACTCTGTCACCCTGGATAGAGTGCTATGGTATCATAGCTCATAGCAACTTCAAACTCTTGGGCTCAAGCAATCCTCTTGCCTAAGCCTCCCAAGTAGCTGGGACTACAGGTGCCCACCACAATGCCCAGCTTTTTTTTTTTTTTTGCAGTTTTGGCCAGGGCTGGGTTTGAACCTGCCACCCCCAGTATATAGGACTGGCACCCTAATCCTTGAGCCACAGGCTCTGCCTTGCCTAGCTATTTTTTTAGAGATAGGGTCTTGCACTTTCTCAGGCTGGTCTTGAACTCCTGAGCTCAAGCAGTCTACCCACCTCAGCCTCCCAGAGTACTGGGATTACAGACATGAACCTCTCTGCCCAGCCAAAGATTATAATTCTTAACTAGTTGTTCTGTGTCAACCCTGGGCCCTTTGTGTACCATACAGCTTAATTATTAATTAAAAATCTGGCTAGTTAGACCAAATTATTGGCTAACAGGTAGTATAGCCTGATTCTTCATATAAAAATCTTCCTTGCCTGTACCAAATGATCGACTATCATTGAAGGTATAATTTATTCTTTCCAAGTCTGTTTGGCTCAGTATCTTTCTGACTAAAATTCTTCCTGGTTTTCTTATTGCTATGGAGGAGGTAAGAGAGAAAGCAGCAAAAAATAAATTCGTTGGTACTGAAAGAATAAAAATTTGATCATAAGGGTTCCAGAGTGTAGTTTTACTCATCACCATCTTTATGGATACACCTTGAATTTGATAGGATGTTTCCTAATGTGTATAGTATATTTGCCTATATATGTGTGTGTGTGTATATATTAATTTCATGTGTGTATGTATATGCATGGTTTTTAATTTATATGTATATAACATCTTTTCTCTCATGCATAATTCCAAATGAATGCTTTGTTACAAAGAATGTCATCGATCACCCAACTACTATAGGCACTTAATACTATAGAAAATGACTTGAGGCATTTCTTTATAAATGCATGATGTTCAGTTTTATACATATTTTTATTTCTCTGAAAAACATGATGTGGAATATACAACATTTCTTCATGAATTCCTCATTAGAAAGAATTTCAAATAGGCAGCCTATGTAGGTTCTGTGGGATAACTTGCTACTTATGTGATTATAAATGGAATTGTATGTCAACTTCATGTTTCAGGTAAACAAGAATGATGCACAGGGAGCATATTTTATTGGTTTGTTGATCAGCTTGGATAAAAAGTTTATGTAAGTAAATCAAGCTAAGATAACTTTTCGTGGGATAGGGATCTGATAAATACCTGAGTTATTTGGAGACTTTTGCTTCTCAGAATGCATGAAAAAAATCCCACAATTTCTATCTAAAAGGAATTTTTTTAACTTTTTTTTTTTTGAGATAGAATCTCATTTTGTTGCCCTCAGTAAAGCCTCAGTATGCCCCATCATAGCTCACAGCAACCTCAAACTCTTGAGCTCGAGCAATCCTCTTGCCTCAGCCTCCCAAGTAGCTGCAACTACAGGTGCCCACCACAATGCCCAGCTATTTTTAGAATGGGGTCTTGTTCTTGTTCAGTCTGGTCTTGAACTCCTGAGCTCATGCAATCCACCCACCTCAACCTCTCAGAGAAATAGGATTACGGGTGTGAGTCACCAGGCCTGGCCCTCAAAAGCACCTTTAAAAATATTAAAAAGAACGTAAAATAATCCTATTAAATATGTTCAACACTATAAATTTCAAATGAACAGCTCAAAATTGGATTTAATCTTGAAAAACTTCACCTGCCTTTGTTTGGGGTGCCATCTTCTGTTGGTAAATAACCCACTAAAAGATGTATTGGATATGTATGAATAATGAATTTATTTAAATGCTTATGATCCCATTTGAATTAACCTTGGTGCCTGGAACCAAAGGATCCTGTTTTTCTGCCTCACACACTATGTTAGCAGGAAACTACATGAGATACTCTATCAACTGCATGAAATGCTTTCCCTTTGAAAGAATGATTGTATTATTTTCCATAAGATAGAAGAGCCAGGAAAAGCTACAAGAGTGAAGAAATTAGTACATGTGGGGAGTTCTTTTCCTTGTTCATTAGTGTACATGTTCTCCTGAGTTTGCAGAGTAGCTGTGATACCCTGGCCCAGGCATAGATATTTTGGCCACGTATATTCCAGGAGACTATTCACTGCCATCATTGAGCAGCAATTAAGACTCAAGGTTTACTATCATTAAAGATCAGGAAATGTTTGATGTTCCTTTGGCCACCCACCATTTTATGTCTGGGTTCCCCTCTTTTGGATTGAATTATCATTTCCCACCAGTAGACTGTAGCCAGTTATTCTAATGATTGGCTTGTTACAAAATGCCCAAAATTTCTTTTCCAGTTGGATGGATGGAAGCAAAGTGGATTATGTGTCTTGGGCCACGGGTGAACCCAATTTTGCAAATGAGGATGAAAACTGTGTGACCATGTATTCAAATTCAGGTAGGCAATACACAAACCTTGAACTTGCTTTGGTGTCATGTCTCATTTCCTCTGTTCCTAGGCTAAGACTAGCAAGGGGTGCATTTGAGCCAGGCAAGATAAGAGAGGATAAAGAACAATTCTAATTTTAGCAGCATAGCCCATTCAATTTGTAAAGGGAAAGGATGCTTAATGTTTATGCTAATAAATGGCATAGTCAATCTTTTCAATTCTTAAATTAGGAAACATTTTTTTCATGTTCTTATTTCAGGGAAGATATCCAGAATGTGTTTACCCATCTCTCTCTCTCTCTCTCTTTCTCTCTCTCTCTCTCTCTCTCCAGCTTCTTATTTTGTAAAATGAGAACAATGATAGAATTTCTCTGGAATCTAATCATCGAAATAATTCATCTAATCATTGAATCCTTGAAATAATTCAATCTAATGATTGAAATAATTCATCTAAAACACTACACAGAGATAGATGAAATAATTCACATAAAACTCTACACAGATGCTTGGTGTATATAAAATTTAGGTATTAAACTGTTATTATTAGTTAACCCTCACCATTTAGATGACAATCTGCAAAACCGAGGGCACGTTTGGTTCATAGAAAGTTCTCTATAAAGTTGAACTTTTATTAAAGTGGAAGGGCAAAAGGATTGCATGGATTCTTCTAGTCACATAAAAATAAAGTTTGATTACAGTCCAAGTCATTTTCAAGGATTCTTACACATAGAAAATATAAATACATTTTGGAAAATGAATAAATGTTTTTGAACATAAACATGTGGATCTAATTTAACTCTGTTGCTCTTTGCCAGGGTTTTGGAATGATATTAACTGTGGTTATCCTAATGCCTTCATTTGCCAACGGCACAACAGCAGTGTCAACGTCACAGTTATGCCCACCACGCCCCCCGTGCCATCAGGTTGTAAGGAAGGCTGGAATTTTTACAATAACAAGGTACTAAGAGAATTTGTTGCACTCTTGCCATTGATCATTATGGAGAATGGCAAAGCAAATCTTTCAGCTCAGAGTTAACTTTGGCTTACCTGATCCCTTTAGAAAATTTTCGGCCAGAACAGGTGAAAATTCTCATGATTCTTCATTTTCTATGAAGACTGAGGACATACTTGAGACATTATCCAAAGAGTTGTACCCTTTATCCGACTGTAGAATAAAACCTCGCAGAGAAAATTTTGCGGGTCATAAAACTAAATTTTTTTAGTCCTTGATTCTGTTGTGAGAAAGTTTGTATTTAGCTGTAATTGTCACAAATAATGCTGATTTTCTATAGAGCAAACTTTATTATCCTTAGTTAACCCTTACAGTTTTTGTTCTTTTTCCTTTCCCCCCAGTGTTTCAAAATCTTTGGATTTGCTGCAGAAGAAAGAAAAAAATGGCAGGAGGCACGAAAAGCTTGCATTGGATTTGGAGGAAATCTGGCCACCATACAAAATGAAAAGGAGCAAGGTATGTGAGCCATTTTGCAACCAGCGGCTCATTGAAATATGTAATTTTGCCCATGATATCATAGAATATTGTTGATAGGTAACAATTTTTTGTTTTCTCCAGAGCAAAAAGTTTAAAAAAGTGGGAAAATGAAATACATATTGAAAATTATTTTATTCAGGCTCCATGCTGTGCTTTTTATACAAAAATCCCTTTCTATTGTCATAAAAACTCAGATATTATTACTCCCTTTTGTGAATGGGGAAATGGTATTGACAGAGGCTGGAGTCATGGAGCTTGCCTGGTTAGGAGGAGAGTTGGGAGTCAAACCTGGGTCAATCCAGCTCAAATCCCTCCCTGTTTCTCCCCAATGAGTCAAAGAAGAGAACTTCTATGAATAAGAAGAAAAACTGCTGATTTCCCATTTGCTGCCCTTCTAGGCACTTGGTCCTATACCTTGTAATGCAATAAAATTGATATTTTACATACAAACTTTGAACAAATGGGGGAGAAATATTTGATAACCCATAAGGATAAGCCAGAGCTTTGAAGGAGAGAACCTCTCCATATCCACATAGTGGGTTGTAAAATTCATTATAGTGCTGTCAAAAGAAAGGCACTTACCACTTTGATGCGGTCTTTCTGGAGCTGACCTCACTGTTCCATGGGGAATTGCTCTTTAAGGAGGATGCGCTGATCACATACAGGAGATTGAGAATAAATGGAGGAAGGGCTTGGGAACCTGGCAAGCACATAGTGGTTGAAAGATCTGCAGGTTCTACAGCTTGGAAAAGAGGATGCAGGCTTTGAAGGATCATCTCATGTGGCCCAGAAGGAAGATGTAGAACCCTTGAATGGCAGTTATAGGGAAATAGATGTCAGCTCCAAATTAGGAAACAGAAGAGCTGTCCAATGGATGGCTTTGTGAGGGAGGTGAAGTTTCTAAAGGGCTGTGAAAAGCTTGAGCTGGAAAGTATGTGGAACAATGCTGTGGAGCCACACAGATTGCCGGCACACAGCATGGAGCCCACCGCGGTCTGGTGTATCTACAAATCTGTGTGTATGAGGATGCTGCAGGAGAAAGGTGGACTCAATATTCTGTAAGTTTTCTTTTGGTTCTGAGATCCTTTAACTTCTAACATCGCTTACTAAAACATAGGATACGTCTCAAAAACTAGAAGAAAGAAGAAAGACACTGGAAACCCACCTGGTGCTCTCACAAATGTTCGTTTCCCTCTGTCAATGCCGCCATGGGCTTGCTTAGAACTCATGGCACACTCAATCCACCCAGCGAGCGCGTTCACAGAACTTTTGACAAGTTGAGCAACTTGCCAGACCCTCAAAGAAAAGGGTCAAACCATAGGACACGAAGTAAGAATGCAACGTTCCCATTTCTCTGTCTACCCCACTTTGGGCTTGGCTGCCCAGCGGAGAAGCACAGTAATTGATTTCCTCTCTGAACCACAAAGTGCTGATTCCTGGCATAATGAAATCGAACCTGGATAATAGAGATGTGCAGAAGGAAATAATTTTCAGATAAAGTAACATTATTCCTGGCAAAACAGGCGCACGTCGTTGAATTCTTATTGTGGTTGTTGGCAGAAAGAAAGTCAGTGCTAAATGTTGGCAGGTAGGGAGTGTTTCCTTATTTTATTTCAAGATGGGATAAGGCAAATGTTCTCATCTTATTTAGGAAACAAAACAAAACCAAAAGAAGTATCTAGCCATGTTTCTCTCTCTCTCTAAAAAATGTCCAAGAAAAATTTTTGTTTTTAAAAAATCTTTAGTTAACTCAGAAAAATATGAACTTCTGAGCAAGTTGGTTGCCACATTTCCCCTGTGCAGAAAGAGTAAGCATTTAGCCATGGCTCTTCCTTGGAACTGTTTGTTCATAAATGGACAGATAATTTGATCTCTGTAGACTTCTATTTTACATTTTGTATTCGTAACCACAAGTGCTCAGTCATTCCATTTCTTATTTTAGCATAAATCTTTGCAAATTGTTATTCTGTAGAATAGGTGCTCATCTGTCTGGAAGTCAAGAGCTAGGGTGCTGGTGCTGGTCCCAGAAGGGAGCTCCTATGGGTGGTGTGGAAGTGGGCTAGGGAAGAGGGAGGGGCACACGTATAATTCAACTTTTTATGGCTGTTAGATGTTTGCCACCATCTTCTCTGCTACAGAATTGATCAGAAGCAAGAAGCCATATTTGTTCTATATTCTTGCCCAGTGATGGGAGTCCATTAGCATCAAGATGGCCCCCTGGGTTCAAGCACACACAGTGGACAGCCTAGAGGTTGTCTAGGGGTTACCCCCTCACTGCCCCTGAGCTATACCTCCACCCAGGAGGAATCCCGGTTGCATAATTCTTGGTTTGGCAATCTAAGAACTTGATAATTTGACAGCCTACTGCTTCTTGAATTGACAATTTTTGCTTTCCAGAACTTTTTTGGGTTAAGAGCCTTCTCTTTTCTAGTTATAATCAGATTATCTTGTTTACAGAATCAGGACAGCTTCTAGCCCATCTGATGACATTTTAGGAATTAGAAAAATGTACGTCTTCTTGGAGGTCGGTAGGCAGCCACAACCCAGATTGGGCCGTATTGAATTGTGAGAACGTTTTTGAACAATTTACCTGTCAATAAACCAGATGATGGCAAAAAAAAAAAAAAAAAAAAAGTGCAGCTGGGCCTTGCCATGGGCTTCAGCTGCCTTTGGCTTTCTTGACCTGATGCTCTCGGGCAGGGTGCGACTTGTACGACTCTCTGCAGTGGCCCCGATAAAAGCAAGGCTTTTATTCTTAAGAAACTTTTCCAAGTCCAAGGCTCAAGTGAGAACACAGTGCTGAGTTTAGAATGTGTTTGTTTTCATGGTAAGTGCTCTGAAATAGTGATAAAAGCACAAATCACATGCTCACTGTCTTTTACTGAAGATGCTTTAAGTATTTTTCATAGTTTATCAGTTCTCAAAGTCTAAATTTTTTTGTAAAACTTTCAGCCTTCCTTACCTATCATATGAAAGACTCCACGTTTAATGCCTGGATCGGGCTGAATGATGTCAACTCAGAACACACGTTCCTCTGGACAGATGGCCGAGGGGTTCATTATACCAACTGGGGGAAGGGTTACCCTGGGGGAAGAAGAAGCAGTCTTTCTTATGAAGATGTAAGTATCGGTTTTGGGTCACCTCGCTCTACACTATCAGCTTGCGTAGGATTATCATATTATTGATACATCCTCTGGGAAAAGTTTACCCATCACTCGAGTCCATTCCTACAGAACGGATACTCCTTGAGTGGTTTATTCTTGCAGATTTTAACTGCTTTAGGCTGAGCCTACCTGGAAGGAAAAGGTATATACATCAGTGTTTTTCAGCCTTTTTTATTTTACAGCACACTGAACCTGTAGTTAAATTCCTGTGGCACATTTTAATTGTGTTGATTAAAAAAAACATACTTACTTTGAACTACTTTCAAAATCAATTTAATTAATGATCTTTAAAAATTTCTGTGGCACTCCTAAGATCCTTCATGGCACACCAATTGAAAATCACTGGTATATCCAGAAAAAAAGAATCACTGGTATGGAGCGAGTTACTCTTCTTTATAGCTTAGGCATTTTTTTGTCTCTAGCTCTTCTTCCAAGTTTTTCTCTTCATGTTTGATTTTCTGCAGTTTAAGTATGATATGCTTAGGTGCAGTTTTAAAGTAATTATCATGCCTGATGTTCGTTGAGCCTCCTGGTTCTGTGATTTATCTATCATTAATTTTGAGAAACTCTAAGTCCATTATTAGTCAACTATTTTCTTTTGTTCCTCTAGACCTTGACCATGTCTAGACTGTTGAAGAGCCCATTAGAAATATGCTTCATTTCCGTTATAGGTTTTTTGATTTCTAGCATTTCCTTTTGATTCTTGGTTGGCATTTTTCATCTCTCTTCTTACATGATGTGACCTTTATGTTCTTGTGTGGTATCTATGTTTTATATTAGTGACCATGGTATATTATTATATTATTTATTCATAGTTATTTAATTTTTGATCTGATAATTCCCAGTCTCTGCCATCTTTCATGTCTGAATATGATTCTTATGCTTGCTCTTCCTTCTAATTTGTGTGTAAACTTTTTTTTTATAAGACAAACTCTCTGTCATTTAGGCTAAAGTGCAATGATGCGATTACATCTCACTACAACCTAGAATTAGCCTCAGATGATCCTTCTGCCTCAGCCTCCCAAATATCTGGGGCTACAGGTGCATGTCACCCATGCCCAGCTAATTTTTTTTTATTTTGTAGAGATAGGGTCTTGCTATGTTGCCCAGCTGGTCTTAAACTCTTGGCCTCAAGTGATCCTCCTGTCTAGGCCTCTTAAAAGTGCTGGACTTTATAGGCATGAGCCACCACACCCAGCTCAAATTGCGGTTTTTATCTTTTAGTATGCTTTGTATTTTTATGTTGAAAGTTGGATGTAAGGTACTGGCCAAAGGGAAATAAGATAAATGGACTCTTGGTGTGAAGTTTAAAGTTTATCAAGGTAAGGTAGACTGTGTTTGCTTTTTGCTGTAGTTGTAAATGTCAGAACATCTGTAGCTGTGTCTTGTTAGAACACAGTAATCTGGTGTATTTCAAATGGTTCTTTCCCACATCCTCTGTGGGAGGCAAGAGGGGATTTTTTTTTTCCTCTGGTCTTCACTGTGACGACCTGGTAAGAGCTAGTGGCAGTAAAACTCACAAAAATATGGGGATCTATTTAAGATTATCCCCACCAAGCGATTTTTTTTTTTTTGAGACACAGTCTTACTTTGTCCCTCTCAGTAATGTGCTATGGCATCATAGCTCACTGCAACCTCAGACTCTTAAGCTCAAGTGATCCTTTTGCCTAAGTCTCCCCAGTAGCTAGGACTATAGGTGCTCACCATGACATCTAGCTAGTTGTAGAGATGGTTCTTGCTCTTTCTCAGGCTGGTGTTGAACTCCTGAGCTCAAGCAATCCACCTGCCTCGGCCTTCCCAAGTGCTACAATTACAGACGTGAGCCACTGGGCCTGGCTTACCCATCAAGAATTATTAATTTTCAAACTTGTCCACACTGAGCCTCCAGGAATCTGTCAATGACAGTTTCATTTTTCCTACCTCACTCACTGGTTCCCATGGACTTTTCTGCTCCTGGGATTCTGCCCTAGTCAGTAGAGATTTCCTATCTGTCTGTTTCTCTACTGTAGGGGATCAGCTGTTTATTTTATGACTTCCCTTTTATGATGGTATTTATTTATTTGAGACACAATTTCATTCTGTCACCCTAGGCAGAGTGCCATGTCATCAAAGTTCACAGGAACCTCCAGTTCTTGGGCTCAACTGATCCTCTAGCCTCAGGCTCCAAGTAGCTAGGACTACAGGTACCCTCCACGGAGCCTGACTAATTTTTGTATTTTTAGTAGAGACACTGTCTTGACCTTGCTCAGGTTGGCCTTGAACTCCTGAGCTCATGCAATCCTACCTCAGCCTCCCAGAGTGTTAGGATTATAGGCATGAGCCACCCTGTCCCGCCCTTATGATGTATTTTAAAAAGAGTTATTGATATCAGTTTCCCCAGGCTTTTTATGGGGTACATATTGTGGATGGGAGGGATACCTTCCAACCTCCTTACATAACACACAAGCCTGATTGAAAGTCCTTAACATTTGCTTTAAATCTATTCCCTTTTTGCTTCAATTTCTTTTAATAGGAAACTTCTTAGTGGAAAAAGTGGAACATTGGTATTTTTACCACAAATAGAAAATAACTATAGAAACAAACCCAAATTTGGGGGAGGGGATCTAGTGCAAAGTAGAACGATGTTTTTTTTTTTTTTGAGACAGGTTCTTACTTTGTCACCCTCAGTAGAGTGTTGTGGTATCACAGCTCACAGCAACCTCAAACTCTTGGGCTCAAGCAATATTTTTGCCTCAGCCTCCCCCGTAACTGGGACTACAGGTGCCCACCACAACACCTGGCTATTTTTTGTTGTTGTTGTTGTTGTTGTAGTTGTCATTGTTGTTTGGCAGGCCTGGGGTGGATTTGAACCCACCAGTTCTGGTGTATATGGCTGGCATTCTAGCTGCTGAGCTACAGGCACCAAGGCCACAGCAGAATGATTTGATGAGGTCTCCTCTCTTTATTTCTGGCTGGTCCACAATGACCTTGCCCCAAGCCCCATCCTCTTACTTTAAATGAGCATAGTACCCCATTCCATGTTAGACTGCAGACCGTATCTGGAGATGGGGGCAGGGGGCAGGTGGTTGTCCCTCCTCTGCTCCTTCAGCAGTAGATACAGGAGTTAGAATGGGAGAAATGGCACTTCAGGAGAAAAATACTGAGATGAATTTTATATAGTACTTCAAGAAAGAAAGGATTTGGTCAATAAATCAGCTGTAAAGGGGGAATAGTGAAAAGTATTGTGTTTGGGTGGTGGTGACTTGCAGAAATTGGCAAGGATTTTATATAATGGGGAAGTTGAGGCTTTGAGGGCCAAAAAGGTCTCTGTTGCAACCATGATAATGTGAAAGAAGCACAGACAAATGAACATGGCTGTGTTCCAATTAAACTTTCCTTATAAAAACAGGTGGTGAACTGAATTAAGGTCCCTGTCCTAGTTTGATGACCTCTAAGGGAGTAACAATTTTACCTGTGGAAACGGCATGGAGAGGCTTTCTCACACCCATGACACCGTTTTTTAGCCCATTGGGAAAGGAAGTGTGGTGTTTTAGGTTCAATGCATGTGAGACAAAAAGATTAGAGACTTATTGGGGATATAGTCAATTACCAAAGAGAATGAATGCTTGATGGAATATGGAGTGTATGTGTGAGAAAGAGAGAGAATATTCCAAGTCTATACTTTTCATATATTTAAGCTTCAAAAGGAAGGGAGAATGGAGGAAAGATGGAGATGCAACTTAAATGATCACAAACCAACCTCAAGACTGGGCCAGGTGTAGCCAACAGGTGCATAGTTTGTGACCTTGTACCTGTAGGAAATTCCCAGACCCTGGCCACGGCGTCCATACCCCTCACTACTTCTGTATGGTATAGTCTGGCAGCGGTAGCAGAGACTCAGTGCTATAGAAGGGCGAGTCTGTATCTGGACTGACTTCTGAAGCCTAAAGTACAAGAGCAGCACAGCTCAACCAGTGTAAACAGGAAAAGAAAAGTCAGAGTATCTAAAAGGCTAATTGTCATTGCAGCTAAGATAACTATGGATAGAAGAATTCACCATAATTTTATGTGCCAGTAAAAAAGAATAGCTGCCAATTTAATTCTAACATTCTGAGTAGGGTACACATCTCTCATTCTAGAAATGTGAATATATAAGAAATGTTCATCTTAAAATAGGTGAAACGCAGTACACGGCCTTTCAATGTTACTAAGGGAGGAGGTTTTATCAATCTCTCTGCTCTGTACCCTTGACTTGCTGGCCTAACTCTCTTCTTCATTGTACCTCCCTTCAAGGCAATATCCAATCTTCCCTTCCTGGATTGCTTTTTATTAACAAGAAGCCTGGGAGCCCTCCTGCCCCCAGGGCACCACACATTCCTCACACATTGGGAAATAGTTCTTATTGTTTTCCTGTACAGCCAGGCTGTGGAGAGCCTAAAGAACTGGTAGTGAACCCCAACTCTTTCACTTACTGCCTGTGTGACCACCAGCAAGTTATCTGATTTCCTTTTGCCTCATTTCTCTCATCTGTAAAATGGGCACAATCATATCACCTACCTCATAGGATGGGTATGAATTTAAATGCATTCATGCATGTATAGTACTTGGCCAGTACATTTAGAGCAGTGTCAGACATTATGAATTATAATTTATAATTTTTAAAATGAATGGCACATGTTATAATCAAAATCTTCAGCTGACACTGGGTCAAAACTTAAGCATGTGTGGGGTTCATGTTGGTTGATATACCGCCTTGTGGAAGCTTGGGGTTGCAAACACATTCACAACCAAACAAATATAATTTTTCTAGCTAGCCCTGGCATCCTCCCTTATCAGATTATAAATAAGATATGAAGCTATCCTAGCAATTAGCTCTGAATATTGGTTAGTGAGAATTTGGAGAGGGAGGATACCATATTTTTCTGGTTTCTTTGGTTTCTAAGGGGTGGTAGCAATTGATACAATTACTGATAGGAAAGTTTCTGAGGCCTGCCTTCAAAATTTATCCATAATCTGTTTGATTTTCAATTCAGATAGCAAGAATTCAAATGTAGGAGATCTGCATGGACTGTGGGTACAGTTGTACAGAAAGTAATGATGGGTTGCATATACAATCAATTAGGGCCATCGTAAGATTTGGAAGTTAAGGATAATGAGAGGTTATTTTTGGCATGTTGATGAATCGATGAACATAATTGTTGATTCATACTTGTTTTCTTTCTCTGTAAATAAACAGGCTGACTGTGTGGTTATTATTGGGGGCAAATCCAATGAGGCAGGGAAGTGGATGGACGACGTCTGTGACAGCAAGCGCGGCTACATGTGCCAGACGCCTCCTGGTAAGTTCCTCTGTGACAGTGAGCACGGCTACACGCGCCAGATGCTTCCCACGCTTCCCAGTAAGTTCCGCTGAACCATGCCTGCCTGGAAGGGCTGGCTTTTCTACTTTAAAAAATATATCATTCCTGGGCGGTGCCTGTGGCTCAAAGGAGTAAGGTGCTGGCCACATATACTAGAGGTGGCAGGTTCAAACCCAACCCCGGCCAAAAACTGCAAAAAAAAATCATTCCCTTATACAACATTAACTTTGATTCTCGCTTTAATTCACGTGCACCTGTGACAGACAAAAAGGTTGACATTTTCTGTGCTTTATTCTCTCATTCTCTTAGCAGGCAGACTAACCTTGATGTTGAAACTTTTCCTAATTTTGTTAGAAATTTGGAGGATTTGCCTATGTAGGAGTCAGGGGAAAGTTTCTCCTTTGTCTTCTGAAGGTTCACTGACCATCACTGGCAAGAGGCAGCATATAACAGGAGAAAAGGCACACAAATGTATTTCATCATAGTTTTACATGACACAGAAACTTTCAGAAGGAAGACCCCAGAGAAAAGTCCAGGGGGAAATGATTTTTTTTTTTTTTTTTTTGCAGTTTTTGGCTGGGGCTAGGTTTGATCTCGCCACCTCCGGCATATGGGGCCAGCGCCCTACTTGCTGAGCCACAGGCACTGACCGGGAAATGATTTTTATACTTAGATTCAACAAAGTACAGAAAGCTATATAGAAAAACAGTTAGACAAAAAGGGGTGTGATCTAACCCAGCAAGGACAGTCGGTCTGGAGGAGTGGTTCTCAACCTCCCTAATACCTCCTGATTCTGCAACCCTTTAATACAGCTCCTCATGTTGTGGTGACCCCCCAACCATAAAATTATTTTCGTTGCTACTTCATAACTGTAATTTTGCTACTGTTATGAATCGTAATGTAAATATCTGAAATGCAGGATGTATTTTCATTGTTACAATGGGGTCGCGACCCACAGGTTGAGAACCACCGCTGGTCTAGATTCTTCTTGGCCTCTGTGAGCAGTGCCCTTCCTTTGGGGTAGGACTGTCTCTAGAATGGGGGGATCTTATGATTTATGGTCAACTAAGGTAGGTTAGATAATTTCTATATGGCCAGTTTTTACGCAGAGAGGCCAAAAGGGAAGTTAGACTAATATTTTTAGGTTTTTGTGGTGTATGTATGCTCTGGAATACTATTTAGCCATTAAAAAAGAGGGACACTTTACATCTTTTGCATTAACCTGGAAGAGTTGGAGAACATTCTCTTTAGTATTACAAGAATTCAGAAGCAGGTATCCAATGTACTCAATACTAATATGAAGCCAGTAGACAATCTAACACATGCCTGCAAAAGAGAAAAACTCAATTTAATTCAAGTTGAGCAGGGGAAGGAGGAAGGGGAGAGAGAAGGAGGGAGATTGGAGTGCTCCCACCTAATGGGCACAATGTAATGGTCTATGGCACATCTCCTGGGAGCAGGACACAACTACAACAGGGACTTTACCTAACAAATGCAAACATTGTACCATAATAGTTTGTGCCTTGATTATTAATCCAAAAAGAAAAAAAATACTTTGAGATTTTTATGGCTCCTATGGAGAAACAGAGTCCTTGCGCTTAAGAACTCCTTTGGGAAAGAATTTTAGTTTCTATGGCTGGGTTTGGGGGACAATGGAACTGAGAGATGAGAAGGCAGGGAACGATCAGAGAAAAACCTCTGCTTCTGAGGCCGTCATTTTGTAGTATTATTTTCTGAGTTCCAACACCTACCTGTACCTTTTCTTAATGTCAGAGTAGGAACATCTCAATTCAACTCTGATTTTTTGAGAATCGTTGGTACAAAGCATCATAAAAGCCTCATTATCCATTCTGGATTCTATGCCTTATAAATGTAGATCTCTGATTCAAGGTTTCTCTTTTTTTCATCTTAGGAAGCTTGAAAATGGTTAAATGAAAATGATACAGAGTATGTGGCTATTTACTGGGGATCGACAGGATGGTTGTACACATTTTAGTTTCTAGTCCAACGAGAATAAAAATATCTAGCTGCACAAAAGCATTAGAAATTTAAAAACAGACATGAAGGTTGGGGGTGGGAAGGTTGCTGCCATTTTGCATACGGCTCTGAGAGGACAAGTTGGATTTGGAAGGTACTTATTCTCCCAGACTTAATAATTTTTTCTTATACTCTTGGGATAATCAGGGAACTAATATCAACTCCTGGCAATGACTAAAAATCACGTAACATATTTTCAGATAATGGTCCAGGACTGTAGGAATTCTAATCTTTTCTTGGTCCTAAAGCTGTCCCAAGGTCATGTCACTTTTCTCTTTGCCCAGTGCCCTACAGCACCAGAATCTTAGGCCATGGGAATCACCAAAACACACCATCTGTACCTCTGCTCTTTAGGCAGATGGAAGAAGCTCCTCACAGGAGTGACTGGTGATTCAAAAGCTTATTTAGACTCTTTTCTTATTTATAGACATAAGTGATAGAATATTTTGCTGGGAATAAAAATCAAAAAGCTTAAATTTTTTTTTTATGTACATAAGGTCTTGCTCTGTCCTTTAGGCTGGAGTGCAGTGGCATGATCATAGCTCACTGCAGCCTCAAACTCCTGGACTCAAGAGATCCTCTTGCCTCAGTGTTCTGAAAGCTGAAATTAGAGGTGTACACCACCACATCCAGCTAATTTTTAAATTTTTTTGTAGGGAGGGCATCTTATTGTCAGAGGGCTGGCAAAGGTATAGGGGAAACGATTTTTATACTTAAGTTCAACAAAGTTCAATTCGTTACCCAGGCTGGCATTAATTTCTGGGCTTAAGTGATCCTCCCAAAGTGTGGGGATTATGGGTGTGAGCCATCACCTCCCCACAAATTTGCAAATTTTTAATGACCTAAGGATAGGTTCACAGTGTTAAAGTGGAAAAAGACAGCATACAAATTTTGAAAATTACAAATTATCAAAAAATAATAGCAACTTCACTCCTCTTAAAAAGAAATAATAAAAAAGACTCAATGGAAATGCACCAAAATAGGAATTGTTGTTATTTTCAGAGAGTGGGATTTTGCAGACTTTAGTTCCTTCATTATAGTTTTCTGCATTCTTTAAAACCTCTATGCATATATACCTATATATGCATATTAAACTTTTAGTGAAGAAACACCATCTTAAAGAGTATATGAGACACGTTCTTTGCTAAAATTTAAGAAAATACAGAAACATATGAAGAAGAGAAAAACTTCCTGTGATCTAACTTGGCAATAAACTTTCAATATTTTCATTTTTTCCACATGATTTTTTTTAATGATTGTTTTTATAAACAAGCAAATTGGACAGAGGAGCTGTTTTCTACTTCTATATAAAGCCCTCTATGAAACTTTTTTTTTTTTAGCTTTACCTCAAACCTCATTTACCACTTTTAACAGTCCAAGTGTTTTCCAGTGGCATTAAGACAAGACCCTATCTCCCTAACCTGGGAAAATGTAAAACTGTTCCATTCCAGATAGGCTCTAACATTCTAAAAGTCCTGGCTGAGGTCTCTTGGGTTAATGATATTATATCAACACAAGATGGCAGCAACAGCAGAAGAAAGGAGAGGATAGAATGAAATTATAGTGTAACAGTCACAAGCAAAGGAAAGTGTGTCACGTTTGTAGTGTAGGAATAAGGCAGGTGGTAAGTCAAGTTGATACAAAGTAAAACATGTCAGTTTGCCAAGACAAAACCCAGCAGTCAAGGATATATAGATCCCTAGACCAGGATAAAGAACTGGCTTATAAATATTTTCATCTTTGTGAATCGTGTAGTCTCTGTTGAAAAAACTCTACTGCAATCATAGACATGTGTAAACATGTGAATGTGGCTGTGTTCCAATAAAACTTTATTCATGAACACAAATTTGAATTTGTGTTTAACAGGTCCTGAAATATTATTCTTCTTCAACTCCCTCACTTTCACCCAACCATTTAAAAGACTTTACAGCTCATTGGTTACAAAGACAGATGGGCAGATTTGATCCTTTGGCTATTGTTTGCTAACTTCTGCCCTAGGACATTAGCTAAGGCCTGCAGAAGCAAGTGCTCTGTTGGGGCCTTGATGTGAAGCGGCCCAGAGTACAGATGTGCCTAATGCAGTGATCAGAAACTCATCCTAGGAGATTGAGGAGGAAAGATCAGAAAGCTAAAGTGACTCTCACTTACAGAGGCGCCACTCCTGGGTCAATCTAGATAAGGTTTTGGGGGCATAGGTGAAGGGCATAAGAAATCATCAAGAATAAAATTTAATATTATGATCAAGGTTAGATGAATCAGACAGGAGTGTAGGGATTTATTCCAGAGCCTACCCAGGCTCCTGAAGGTACATAACTCACAGACATAGCCAAATAGATACAAAGTCATGGATGGAATAGAACAAATCAGGAGCGGGGGTGGGGAGTCAGGTGGGAAGACTGTTCTTCACCTTGACATTTGACCAAGATGGAAAAATAAAGATTAGTAATGACGCAGTGATCAATGTTCTTTAATTTCTGGTCTTAAATTGTGTCCATTTCTTTTATCTGGATATTAGATTATATTGAATTTTTAATACCTTTTGTAGTTGAGAAAGTTGATCATATATCTACCTTCATATTCTAAATACAGTTAGGAAATCATTTAATTTAGTTGGGCATATCAATTAAAAAACGAAGCTTTGTTTTCTGGTGTGAAATGGCTTCTGAAATATTTTTAATGCTTGACATTTTGGATTTATGCTATTCCGATTATTTTTATGATGGATGAGATATAGTAGTCATGTACCAAGGGTGCTCGATTGATGTTTCTTGATATTACTAATAAAAATGATCTTTTTACTGTAGACCCGGCCTTGCCTAATTCTCCAGCAACAGTTCCAACAGATGGCTTTATTAAATATGGTGAAAGCAGCTATTCACTCATGAAATTTAAAGTGCAGTGGCATGAAGCTGAGGAATACTGCAGGGCTCACAATTCCCTCATTGCAAGCATTCTGGATCCCTATAGCAACGCATTTGTGTGGATGCAAATGCAAACACTTAAGGAGGGGGTGTGGATTGCCCTCAACAGTAACTTGGTAAGATGCCGGGAACCCGTGCCACCTGCCGTCATGGGTGCACTGTGGGTGTATATGATTCTCTTTCTGTCTGTTACAAATATGTGTTACTTGTAAGAAACAGTGTTGGTGCTAACACGACTGAGACCCCATCCTTTAGGGACCCAACACCTTCAAGGATCTGGCCAAACTAAGAATTATCTAATTGATATTAAGTATCTTACTGCTTTCAACTATTCAATTAGATTTTGAATCTCAGTCGTTTTCTTGACTCACGTATTTCCTTCCAGTGTCAGGATGGCAACAATGCCATGAGAATGAAAAGAACAGCTCAGGGACTACTCAGTTGTTGGTGATGAGGATGTTTTTTATTTTTTTTTGCGCTAAGACATTCTAGACTTGTTATAAGTCCTGAGGTGGCGGAGTGTCCATCCGTGTGTGAGAGATACTTCATTACAGTCAATTTCCTGAATTCTGTAACAGAGAAGGAAAGGTTGGCAGGAATGCGTTGGGGTGAGGAACTAAGAGTGGTGATGAGTTGTCAGAATATTCCTAGACTGAGAGTCTTCTCTGATGCCTTGTCAACATCTGTCCACCCTTCATCCATCCGTCTAGCTAGGCAGCCAGCAAACTTTCCAGTTTTCTATTTCTAGTTCCAAGAAATAGATATGTCAGCAAGCAATTAAGAAATAATACAGGAAATGTCAAATAGAAACACAGTAGGACGTCTGAAAGTTGACCACCCAGTGGACCAAAACAAACTAGTCAACACATGGAGGTGGTCAACATAAGGAACTAGGCCTACTGTACTGATACGTCCATGTATACTGATATGTCCAGGCTGTGAAAATTAGGCCAGCTTAAGAAGATGGTCAGTCTAGGGAGGGGATTAGCAATGGAGGTTCTACTGTATATGCAAAGAGTTATAGGGCAAGAGAAAAGGGACCATTTGGGCCAGGGGAAGACCGAGAGTTTCTCAGAGAAAATCAGACTTTGTAGATGTAGTCTGGTGTGTAAGAACATAAAGAAGGCATATCAACAAGAGAGAAAAAGACAGAAGGTATCACATTTTAAAAAGCTGCTAATGCCCGGATGCAGAGATAGAAACTTCCACTTTGTGCAATGAGTATTTTCTAAGTAGGGAAGTAAACATTTCAAAGTAAGTAGTTCTATAATGATTTCTGTGATTAAACTCAGGCATTTTAAAGTCTCTGTTGACCATGTCTTGAATAATAGAGTCTCTTGATAAATCACTCATTTCCTTCTCACAGATGTGGTCACAATTCTCTTGTGAGTTCAAAACAGGCTTTTTATTTATTTTTTTAAAGATTAAATGGTTTTCTGCTGTACTGATAATTAGGACAAACAGCATTATTGCCTTCCTTGCAACTATGGAATTACTAGATGTGCAAGCACTATTTGATTATATGGTAGAATGCAACCAAATTCTGATTCACAATAAGTGAGTTAGAATTTTTTTTGGTTTTGTCAGTGGATCTTTGGTAATTGGCCTGGTAGATTACACAATGCCATTGAAAGGGGGATAATTGTTTTGAATATTTTAAAAATTCAGTTATCTATTCTTAGGCATAACCTGTCAAATCTCTATTAGATTATTAAAAGATATCATGGATAAGTAATATTGTTGATGATGTCAGTTGTGTATTACCAGAACTTTAATAAGAGACTGAGTGTGCAATAAAGACTGGAATAAAACAATATTCTTTTTTAAAAATGTCATCATGGGTCTTTGACACCATAGCTGCAGGCTTGGTGGCTGGCGGCATAGCTGAGTGGTTATGGCTCCAACCACATACACAGAGGCAGGCAGTTCAAACCTGGCCCAGGCCAGCTAAACAATAACAACTGCAACAAAAAAATAGCCAGGCATTGTGATGGATGCCTGTAGCCCCAGCTAGTTAGGAGGCTGAGGCTAGAAAATTGCTTAAGCCCAAGAGTTTGAAGTTGCTATGAGCTGTGATGCCACAGCCCTCAACCAAGGGCAACATAGTGAGACTCTGTCTCAAAAAAAAAAAAAAAAAGACATCATAATTCATATAGCTGAAAAGTCACCTAAGACACTTAGGCCCATTTGACTACCTGAGTGACCTTAGCCATGTCATTTATCACTGGTGCTGTTTCTACCACAGACCAATGAGAAGATCAGTAGAGATTTAGTGTTTCTCTCAGGGGTCCATGAATTGAATGAAAATTACTTAATTTTTAAAATAACTTCAATATTAGTATATGAAATATTTTGTTTATTATGAAGATGAAACTTCTCCTTTGCTCTGAAAGCATGCAGACGAAGACAGTTTCAGGGAATAAGACGTAAAGATTTCTTCAGTCAGTGTTTTTCAAAATAGCTTCCAAGGATGCATTTCTAGAGATCTGCAAGAGATAATTACTTCTGAGAAAGGCTGCATTTTCTGAATTTGAGTTGATAGAAATGACTTGTAATGTTCCTTTTATTCTCAAACGTGCAAAATTCCACATCCAATCACGGTCTTAAATATACTCTTTATCCTTCGCTTTGGTTCTTCTGGTATTTTCTAAATGAAGCAAGGCTCCGTGTTAATGGTTGTTTTTGTTCTTGCAGACCAATAATGAGTACACTTGGACAGATAAGTGGAGGGTGAGGTACACTAATTGGGCTGCTGATGAGCCCAAACTGAAATCAGCCTGCGTCTATCTGGATCTTGATGGCTTCTGGAAGACGACTCCTTGCAATGAAAGTTTTCATTTTGTCTGCAAAAAATCAGATGGTAACTGAATATGCAAAAGAACCAGACGATTTGAAATTTTCTGAATAAGCTAGTATACACCACTGTTGATGTTATTAAATGCTGGGTAGCTAAAAATAAGATAAAATAGATTTCTTTACCTAACGAAAGACCATCGTAGCATACACCACGCATACACAGATGAAAATCATGGCAATAGAAAATATTGGTGTTTTTTTTTTTTGAGGGCTTATTTGCCCTTTAATAAACCTCAGAGTTTTTATTATAAAGGTTGTTCTCTGAATCTATGATAATGGATTCCCCAGGAAATTATGCTTAACGTTTGATGTTAACAACATATTCAGGTCAAAATAATTTTATCAGAATGTGTATTATGGATATAGTTTGAGAATTCCAACTCAGTTATATCACAGGTGTCATTAATATTAATGAGGGGTTATATGAGTTAGGATCTCAGACAAGGAAAAGAATGGCTGGAAAATTACAAATTATTTGGGGATGACTTAAAAAACTTAATCTTTATAGGTATGGTCTTAACTATGAATGTGGTTGATTGCTAGTATTCCGTAGTACAGTCTATTGAAATATATTTAAAATTTTAAAAACATAAAGTAAAAAGAATAATAATAATGGTAGATCCAAACGGTAACCATTGGAAGTCTTTTTGTTGTTGTTTAATAATACTAGGTGGTAACGTTTTCCTTAGCCACTGAAATATTATTCTACATGCTACAAATACTTTTGGTTTAGTTTTATTTTAAATAGATTTTTCTTAACAGTGGTCCCTGCCACGGAGCCTCCACAGCTGCCCGGCAGGTGCCCAGAGTCACAGCACACGGCCTGGATTCCGTTCCATGCTCACTGCTACTACATTGAATCCTCATATACCAGGAACTGGGGCCAAGCTTCTCTGGAGTGTCTTAGGATGGGTAAGTGCCACATTTCCTGAAAGAAGAATTCATAATAATCTATTCTGGAGTCCCATGGCACTAATAACATACATTATAAACACAAGTAATGTAAAGATAACCTGTTTTTTTTATTATTATTAAATCATAGCTGTGTACATAAATGCAATCACAGGGTACAGTATGGTGTTTTCATACACAATTTTCTCATCAAACTGGTTAACATAGCCTTCATGTGTTAAGACTCTGCATTCATACTCTGCTTTTAGAAAGATTCATTTGTACCCTTATAAGATAAACCATAGAGGTGACCCCACCAATCACCCTCCCGCTAACCTGATTTTTAAAAACTGATTTATTTTGGGTGGTGCCTGTGGCTCAAAAGGAGTAGGGTACCAGTCCCATATGCTGGAGGTGGTGGGTTCAAACTCAGCCCCAGCCAAAATCTGCAAAAAAAGAACCCAACGACAACAAGAAAAATGAAAACTGATTTATTTTGTAAGAGAACAATGTGATGTCCCTTAAACATAATTTCCAACTTTGTAGCATCAATATGTTAGAAAATTCAGATCATTTTCTGCACAAATATTTCTTCCCTCTGCCCTCACATTCTTAGTTGTCAGGATTCTCATACTCAGTTCCCCAGAGTCTTGGGACTGATAAGCTCAGACTTTACAAGTACCCAGCAATCATTTTTTCCTTTATTTTGCTATTAATAGAAAAGTATTTATATCTGGTTATTGTATTTGTGAAGAAAAACTAAACTAAACTAAAATAGGCATGATAACAAGGAATGATTTTCTCCCTGTAGTAAAAAATGCCAAAGTTAACTTTTTAGGGTGCATTAAAAACTCACCTACTTATATCCCACTAAATATTTTACTGAATTATTTTAGTATTTAATGCTTCCTGGATGTATTTAGTAGGGTTTTTTTATTTTGCTCTAACTCAGGGTTCTTTATCCAACAGTGAAGGGCTATATATTCTCATTTTCTTCAAGTTCATTCAAAACTCAACCTTGTACCACCACTGCCATGGGCAACTACAGTGTTAGACCATTGCCACCAAAGGCTTTTAACAAACATTTCCAGGGATAAGGTTCTTTGCACTTAGGGTTTTCTAGAGAACTATCAGGTCAAATCATGGAAATTCTTTGAGAAAGAGTTTAAAAAGAGCTGTAATCCCATTCCAACCTCTCCAGGGGTATCCTGTACTACAGGACTATTAATCCACTTGTTATTGATTTTCACAGTTGTTGTGGGGCTGTTGGTTTTGAAGACAACTGTGGAGCTGGGAAGAAGACAAAGATCAGGACTAGTTAAAACACCGTGAAGCTCACTGTTAACTCCTGAGATGCAGTCATTTTTTCTTGTATTCTTGCAAGCCTTTGATTAATTTTTAGAATTCTGGAAAAGTTGATTTTAATGGATTTGTAGGTTTTCTCACTGCTTTTATAGGGGAAAAGATTTTCAGAGGTACATATTCTGCCATTTCTGCTGATGCTATCTGAAGTCTACTTTAGTCATTTATAAAAATGTTTTTCAGTCAGGTGACTCACACCTGTAATCATAGCACTTTGAGAGGGTGAGGTAGGTGGATTGCTTAAGCTTAGGAGTTCAAGACCAGCGAGCCCCCCCACTCATCTCTACTAAAAAAAATAGAAAAAAATTTAAAAAATGAATAAATGTTTTTCTTCAGGTTGCTTAGTATTTTTTCTTTAAATTTTTGCAATGAGTATGTAAGAAACTTTGTCTTCAATTTTAGGTGACTGTATTTTCCAGTAAATATAATGAATGAAATGAATGAGTCAAATTCTCATTCTTAAAATACATAACAGATACTTTGAACTGATGAATGTCTACAAAGTGTATTTAATGGTGAATTATGGAGTCGTCCAGTGAAAACAGTCACTGAATAGATAATCGAGAACTCAGTAATACGGAAAACAGGCATATTGTTACATCCAGGACCTCAAGACTCAGAAGGTCTAAGTTGTACATGACTCTACCCTCGACTGGTGTCAGGGTCTTGGCAAATTACTTTTCCTCTGTCCTTGGCTCTCTTTAACTATAAAATGGGGTACCAATAGTACCTATTTCTGAGGTTCTTGTAAAAATTTAATCAGATAATGCTTGTAAAGCCCCAAAGCAACATGTTAGGCAGGACATTTTTTAAAATTGTATTAGTTATTACTAAAAAGCTATGGTTCTTACTTTAAAACCTAACGCCGACACCATCTAATGTGGATTGTCCCTTTCGTGGTTATCTATCTGGTCTCACAATTTCCTCTCTGTACCTTGAATGGTTCCCTGCATAACAGCTGGATTCATAGTCCTACACTACATTACATCATTCTGCTGCCAGAAAAAGCTGAGTCCTTTTTGTCATCACCTTGCCCTAAGTACCAGTCTCCTTCCTTCTTGCAGTGAGACGCAACCTGTGTCTTTCTTTAGCCGACTGACCGTATTGGGCTACGTCCCCTCCAGACCAAGCCATCTCTGTCCCTGGAGACGTTCTACACTTCCCTCTGGCTTTATCTTTCCCCTTGTTAATTCTTCCTAAAAGAATTTCCTATCCTTTTTACTTGAAAGACTGCACTATCTCCATTTAAATCCTATTTCCTCTTAGCCTCTCTTTTATTTACTCCACCTAACGTGACTATTTGATGTGTCCATAGCATATTGCATTTAACACCTCCTCTCTGATATCCCTGCGTGCTCTTATGACTGGCCACGGAACCATAACTCTCTTAAGACATATTCTACGTCCTACTCATCTTTGAGTACCCTGTGGGAACAACTACTTCAGTGCTTGGACTCCAGTGATGCTCAAAACTATATTTTCTTTCTTTCTTTTTTTATTTTTTCTGTGTAAGTTCCTTTCCTTTCTTTTTTTTTTTTTTTGAAAAGTAAATTTATTTCAGGTCAATGTGAGGGTATGAACAACCAGGTCAAAATATTTGTTTTTGTTAGTAGAGACCCTCTTGTGGTTATGCCCCACCTACAAAAGTTGTGCCAAACACCCCCACCCCGTGCCCATTCAGTGAGAGCACCCAAGCCCCCTCCCCCTCTCTCATTACCCCTCGCCCTAACTTGAACTGAAATGAGTTTTTCTCCTATGTGGACACGCCTTAGATCATCTGCTGGCTTCATATTAGTACTGAGTACATTGGATAATTGCTTTTCCATTCTTGTGATACTTTACTAAGAAGAATGTCTTTTAACTCCATCCAGGATATCACAAAAGATGTTTTCAAAATGGAAACTGAAATTCTGATCAGAAAAATGTCCACCCCTCAAGTGGAGAAGTTGGTTGATTTTTATTGTTCTTGCAATCAATACTGTTTACAAAATAATTGATACTTTTATACTTTGCAGGCTCTACTCTGGTTTCCATCGAAAGTGCCGCTGAATCCAGTTTTCTGTCATATCGGCTTGAGCCACTTAAAAGTAAAACCAATTTTTGGACAGGATTGTACAGAAATGTTGAAGGTAATTTTTGCAGAACAATGATTCAATCACAAATATTTCCAAATGTTGTATGTAAAACCTGGTTTTATTTCTGGAAAGTCTTACCTACAGCAATGATTAATTTGTGATGAGTTCGAAAATTCAAACTCATATTTTTATTTGAGGTAAGAACTGAAAGTTGAAATGACTTTCCTATAATGCGATCCTCAGAGTTGCCAATTTAAAAAAGATCTTCTATAGCTAAGTTAGTTTACGAAGCTTTAAAAAGCATTTTTTTGTGGGATGGCATGGAGGGGGGAACTAGGGAAGGAGAAGTATACATATTTGTACTAATTGGAAGTAATTTTTCAATTTAAATATATTTTAGTCATTACAGTCTTGTCTGTTCAAAGTCTTTTTTTAAAACCATTGGTTCCTGTATAAAATAATGTGTTTAGAAATTTTGCATGAGTAGCCTAACTTATTTTAAGACGGGTTATTTTTCACTTGCATTGTTATTGGTTTTATTTTATGACCAGGGATGTGGCTTTGGGTAAACAACAATCCACTTGCCTTTGTCAACTGGAACACAGGCGATCCCTCTGGTGAAGGAAATGATTGTGTAGCTGTACAAGCATCTTCTGGGTTTTGGAATAATATTCACTGTTCTTCCTACAAAGGATATATTTGTAAGAGACCAAAAAGTAAGTACTAAGTTTATCATGTGTTGGGTCTGTTCATTGGCCATCATTTCTTTCAAATTGGCAGGTATCAGGCATGCCATTATAATGTGATTATAGGCCCATCCCAGCTCTGTTCATTTATCACTGAAAAATTCAGTCTGCCATGGTGATCCATCCTTGTCTGCCTCTCTGAGTGAGCAAGGGGCACGCTCTGTCTGCTCAGCTAACATAATCATATTTGTTTGTCAATGCATTTATGATGAGATATCCATGTGTATGGATTTGCCAACTGCATGCAGTCACCAGAGCATTTTTACAAAGCTTTACTTTGTGAAGGGAAAGGGATTAAAGTAATACCAGCATAAACCCGAAGAGGCCAGGCTTCTGGGAAGCAATCAGAATTACTTATAGAGTAGAAGCAGGAGGACAGCTTGAGTCCAGGTTCAAGGCCAACATATTGAGGCCCCATCTTTAAAAATTAAAAATAAAAAAATTAGCAAAGCCCGGTTGTGTGCACCAGCTACTCGGGAGGCTAAGGCAGGAGGATCGCTTGAGCTCAGGAGTTCAAGGGCTGCAGTGAGCTACGCCAGGCTGGGTGAGAGAGCAAGACTGTGTCTCTAAGAAAACAAACAAAAGAGAATTGATTATAGAATGAGTTATGGACTAATTCAGTCTCCTTCTGAGATGGAGAAAGCGATTGAGGCTAATTGACAGTGTCGAATGCTCACAAGGCACTATCTGGGCCCTAATGATACTTCATCACCATTCCACCTCACCTAGTATTCTTCACAAGACATGAACTTATTCATTAGGTAATAGATTTAAATAACTGAGTTAGATAAACTAACCCTTTTGTCTCAGGAGGTTTTATCATTTTAAAACGGTGCAGGTCTTTGGCTTTTAAAACTCTGTTGTACTACACCACAATCTCCGGGGTCATGTTGGATACCTTGTAACATTTCAGTGGGCCAACTTCAAACCCCCTAGCCTGGAATGCTGTTACTTGTGGGCAGGTTGGGTACATTTTAAGGGTATCAGTGGCTCCAATGCAACTGGGAGAATCATAGTACTGGAATCTAATGTATGAGGTTGGACAGTTAAGTTCCTGGACTCATTCTAGAAAAAAGAGCTATGTACCTGATTGCTGAATATCACTACAGTTGCCTTTGAAGTACTCCCCTTGGGAAGCTATTCACTGATGCCAGCACCTACTCCACTCTTCAGAACAATTTTGGAACTCATCTGTAATGATTATCAGAACTGTTGTACAGGGTCTGACAGTTAACTTCATAAACTCAGCCTTGAAGAAGTGCTATATACCTCAAGGCGGAATATTCACCTTCAAAGTACTTCTGTTGTCCATCTGGTGACCATAGTGATATTCAGCAATGAGGTATGGAGCACTTTTTCTAGGATGAGTTTGCAAACTCAGTTGTCCGACCTTGTATTCAAACTTGCCGTATAGATGTAGAATGTTGTGTAGCATAGATAGATAGATAGATATTCTATCTGTACCTGTGTCTCTATCATGTCATCATGTATCATTGTAAACCAAACATGGAGTAGTCTATGTATTTGTGAACCAAATAATATTTACTATCTACATGCAATTATTGTGGGCTTTTATAAATATATAATTAATTAATTTTCCTTTTTTACAAACAGTTGTTGATGTCGAACCTACTCCTACATTAATTACAACAAAAGGTAAGACCATTACAAAATTTCAAGTTCTCTATTAATACATCAACATCATTTGTTTTAAAAGCCATAATGATCTCTGGGCAGCACCTGTGGCTCAAGAAGAAGGGCACCAGCCACATATACCAGAGGTGGTGAGTTTGAAACCAGCCCCAGCCAAAAACTGCAAAAAAAAAAAAAAAAAAAAAGAGCCATAATGATCTCTCCTCTGTACTCTGAGCAGTTTCACTTGAGCTAACATAGCCTCTGGGTTGTTATGTCATCAACCTACCTTAAATGATACTTTAGAAAAACAGGCCTTGGGTTCAGGTTGGTGTTTTTACTCTAAGAACCTATTGAAAGCTTTTTTGTTTGTTTGGTTTTTGCTGTGTTATGAAGAGTTGCTTTATGAGAACCCATGGAAGAAATTCCTCTCCGGAATCCCTGTGGGTTTCTCTTTTCTTTTCTTAGCAAAGTTTCTGTTTTATTTTTTATAGACAACTTACGTAACTGATCCTATTTTACCCGTATTGCTGGCTGCTAGAAAAAACTCTAGGTGAAATGTATGACTTGATTGTAAACCCCTTATCAATCTCCCAAGTGCTTTTTGTTTACTGATTATACCCACGAGTTCAAATTTCCACTATGCTTATTTTCTACTTTTTCCTAATTTTTGACTTGCTTTTAAGTACCACCATCATTGTTGTTGCTATTCTATTTATCTTCTTAGAATGTATTTTTAAATTATTGTGAAACAAGGTAACACATTTGAAAAACTTTGTTTAACTAGCTCAAGGCTTATAGGCAGATGTAGTATTGTTTACAGCTGAATAATCATCTAAACATTCTTAATAATCCTCTCGGGGCCATATGGAATTCTTGTTTTCATGTCTTGCCTTTCTGTTTGACAAATGTCACTTGGAAGAATAGGCATTTTAGTGTTTCCAGAAAGAAAGTTGTATTGTTTTCCATATCATTTAAACTTCTGTCTCCCTCCAGCTTTTCCCTAATCCTTTTTTAAAATTTGTTTATAGCTGACTCAAGGAAGATGGAGCCTTCCAAACCATCTTCCAACGTAGCAGGAGTAGTTGTCATTGTCATCCTCCTCATTTTGACCGGTGCTGGCCTTGCTGCCTATTTCTTTTATAAGAAAAGACGTGTGCACCTACCTCAAGAGGGCGCCTTCGAAAACACTCTCTATTTTAACAGTCAGTCAAGTTCCGGAATTAGTGATACAAAAGATCTGATGGGCAACATTGAACAGAATGAACACGCAATCATCTAGAATCACCGTGTGGTCTTGGTATGATTGAATCTCATTAAGTTGTAACTAAAATTTTTTAATTCAATGTGATTGTTTCCTTTAAAATTAATTATGTGTTGTACTGGCCTGTCCTTTTCCTTTGCCTCATGGAAGAAATAGTTGTTCGTTTTCTAGCCTGGCAAGATATTTTCACAAAGAGGGATAATAATGTTGATTACCACTTAAAAAAAAATCATAGGCGAATCTATAGCACTACAATGCCAACATTTAGGTATCACTGCCATGTAGCTAGGATCAATTTCATGTAGATTACAAGAGCTCTAGAAACAACCAGTGAAGCCTCTTGAAATATTTTAAGGGGCTCCAAAAAATATGTTACCTACTGAAATGTGTTTCAGAAGGCCATTTGAAAATTAAGCATAAGTAACCTCAGGTGGTATAAAAAATTAGTCAGCTTTCTCTCTGACCCATCTTGATTTCCACTCGATGATTTAGAATTGTATTCTAGACGTGCAGCAGAATAAGGCAGCCAAGAATCTGGTTTTCCCCAAGCAGAATTTTATAGACTAAACATTGCAAATGTGTTCTTTGTCCCCTTATATGTATATCAGGATACAAAGGTGTGAAATAAAATGTAAATTTGCATAACTGGATGTACTTAGATAATGTGAAATAAACATTAAAGACAAGGTCTATTTTTAATAGATTTGCATTTTGGTGATCTTGGTAAATGAAAATTTGCTTTTAAATGAGACTTATTTATCCATTCATGTTACACTTTAACTTTGCTCTTACACAATATTATTAGTAAAGAAATTTTTTAAGTCAAGCTCTTTATCTATGTGGAAAAGGTATGTTGCTAAAACATTATGTGCAAAATTATTTTTTTTACCATAATGATTTGCAGAGTTTTCTCAAATCTTCCCTCCCTAACATCTACTCAACTCAGAAATTAACAATCAAAGGCACTGATGTTTGGGATTAAAACTCTAAATATCTTTTTCTCCCTTTAATTATTCCTTTTGACTTAAAATCTGCACCTTGGACAAAGCTTTAGCTACATTATAAAATATTCTAGAGCTTTTGTGTCTTACAAGGGTACCATGCTGCCAGTCCTGTCTTAAGGGATTACCACGGGCAAGAGTTCTTTACTTGGGTCCAGTGCCCAGCGCTCTCTCAATGGCAATGAGTGGTCTTTGAAGGAGTCCAATTTGCATGCAAAAAGTTGTGTTTATTTGTGTGTGTACCATTTTTTTTTCTAGGAAGAAAATATTTATGTATTTCAACAACATCCATCATTCAAAAATGATGAAGCAACAGCATATCCAATAAAGGATCAGATGAAATGTGCAATACTCCAGCTTAGAAAGAAATAGGAAGTGAGAAGCAGGCAATTGTGGGAAAGGCTGCTGAGCACAAATGGCTCCCTTTTACACCTCAAATAATAGAAAACAAATTGCTTTTCATTTTAGGGGTAAGAACAAGCAGGCTCCATTTGCAGAAATTCCAATGGAAATGGAGGCTGCAATGTCACAGCAGCGTGTGATGAATCCCACCAAGGAAATATATATGGAAAGGGATATATAGATATATACACACACACACACATACATGTATATACACATATACATACACATGTGTGTGTGTACATATATGTATACACATATACATGTTAATAATCTTTCCTTGAGAACAAGAATTTGAGAAGAGATTCATGACTGAGCCTGGTTTACAAATTCCTTGCACAAGCCTCTTTCCTTATAATTCAGAACTTCCTTTTCACAGAAAATATTTTGGATGCAAAACAACATTGATCTCAGACTCGAGTGTCTCATCATTTCAGGAGACAGTCTGTGTTTGACAGGGTTGCTGAGTTCTCTGTTTCACCCTCTCACGTTATCTATCCAAACACATAAAGAGAAAGTCATGTGTGTCTACAAAGCTATTCAAACATAATACTGAAATAGCAAGGGATTTGGCGGGGGGCGGGCAGGTATTGGGTAGAAGGAGGAGTTTTTATCTTGTTTTATTCATTGGTTTTTGGTTTGGGTTGTTGTTGTTTATTTGATTTTCCTTTCTTAGCCAGAAGTTCTCTGGTTAGTCAGTTAGGCGACTAACTGTGTAAGTGGGTATTGCTCTCCTCACTAGCCTTACTCTTGTCTCAAGTTTATCAGGGTTCAGGAACTGGAAGACTCTTTGTTTTGTTTGTTGTTTATTTGTGACAGTCTCACACTGTCACTCTAGGTAGAGTGACCTGGCATCATAGCTCCCAACAACCTCAAACTCTTGGGGGCTCAAGTGGTTCTCCTGCCTCAGCCTCCTGAGTAGCAGGGACTACAAGCATGTACCACCATACTTGGCTAGTTTTTCTATTTTTAGCAGAGAGAGGGGGTCAGTTGCTCAGGCTGGTCTCAGACTCCTGAGCTTAAGCAATCCACCTGCCTCATCCTCCCAGATTGCTGGGATTACAGGAGTGAGCCATCGTGCCCAGTAGAGCTGGAAGATTCTTAAGGTTATTTTTCCCAGGTGGGAAACAACATGAATAATCTATAATTGGAATTCTAAAAATCAAAGGGGAATCTGCAGACACTGGTAGGAGTTTGGTGCATCCTTCTTTGGTATCCACTTACACCTTCATGGTATCTTTATCTCTTCCTTCATCTAATACATGTGCCAAGCACTGAGCTCACCCCAGCACATTCAGACATAGGTAAAAATCAGGGTCTGTCCACAGGGAGTACACAGTCTAGTGGTTGTTCAGACCCACAAGCAGATCATTTTACAACCAGATAGTTGACTGGCATAATGTATTAGTGTAGCAGTGAGAGATATAGATGTGGCCATCAGCAATGGCATGGCCAGATTGTGAAGGAACTGAGATTATTCTTTTGGGGGCCTCTTTTGGGTGCCGTGGCTCAGTGGCCAGGGCACCAGCCACATACACGGAGCTGGCGGGTTCAAATCCAGCCCACGCCTGCCAAACAACAATGATAATTATAACAAAAAAATAGCTGGGTGTTGTGGTAGACACCTGTAGTCCCAGGTACTTGGGAGGCTGAGGCAAGAGAATCACTTAAGCCCAAGAATTTGAGGTTGCTGTGAGCTGTGATGCCACAGTACTCTACTGAGGGTGACATAGTGAGACTCTGTCTCAAAAAAAAAAAAAAAGAATAGGCTGGGAATGATGGCTCATGCCTGTAATCCTAACACTTTGGGAGGTCAAGGTGGGAGGATCATTTCAGGACAGGAATTCAAAAGAAGCCTGAACAGCATAGCAACATCTTGTCTATACAAAATAATAGACATAATTATTGTACTATTATTTTGTAAATATTTGTAAATATTTTTGTAAATGTTGTACATATTATTGTACTATATACAAAATATAGACATAATAGACATAAGACAAAATAATAATAATAAAAAATAAGCCAGGCATGGTGGCACATACTTGTAGTCCCAGCTACTCAGGAGGCAGGGGCAGGAGGATTACTTGAGCCCAGAAACTCAGAAATTAGAGGCTACAGTGAGTGTGATCATGCCACTGCACTACAACCTATGTGACAGAGACAAACTTTGTCTCCTAAATAAAAAAGGGGGTGACAAATTGAGGACAATTACATATTATTTTAATAATTTTTTTTTATTATGTCAAAACATTCATATTCTACTTATTATTTTAATAATTAACTTCCTGATATATTTCCTATTAGTTTGCCCAGGCTGCTATAACCTAATACTACAGACTGGATGGCTTAAACAACAGAAATTCATTTTCTCAGAGTTCTGGAGGCTGGTAGTCCAAGATCAAGGTGCCAGCAGTGCTGGGTTTCTCTGAGGGAGGCCTCTCTCCTTGGCTTGCAGATGGCCACCTTCTTGCTGTCTTTTCACAAGGCTGCTATTCTGTGTAAGTGCCCCTGGTGTTTCTCTCACTGTGTCCTAATCTCCTTTTATAAGGATGGGTGCTAGGCAGATTGGAATAGGGCCTACCCTAACTGCCTCATTTTAACTTAACCATCTCTTTCAAGAGCATATCTCAATAAACAGCCACAATTCTGAATTAACGTGGGTTAGAGCTGGCTTCAACATCCACATTTTGGGAGGACACATTCTGTCTGTAACATACTTCTGTAAGTAAGGCTTCTTTTTGCCTTGTATCCATTTATCAATGTTCTCCAGAGAAATAGAAACAATTGAATCTTTCTTATAGCTTTTGTTTCAGAATTTTGGTTATAAGGTAGTAATATAAACCTACCAGTTTACAAAAGATGGTTGGATCCAAATTGTATTTTTGACAAAAACTGGGAACTGTTTACATGGCTGAATTGCATTTGTTCTGATGGGATAATTTAATGAAGGCTGTGGACCAAAATTTCGGGGAAAGCTTTCTAATGGCAGTTTGATTTTGTTTAAAAGCTCCTTAATCCTTTCATTTTTTAGTTTTAAATGAATTTAGGCTTAAATTTTTAATGTTTACATTTTAGTTAGAATTGGCTGAATTGTATAAGAAAAACAAAATCTCTAAGTAGCCTTGAGTAAGTAATATTATAAACAATGAGTTTTATTTTAACATTAGTAGAAAAGTCAGTAGATTTAAAATAAGCAGGAAATAAAATGGAGAACTTGGCTCTACATTTTAACTCTGTAGTTACAGGTTTTGTACTTGAGCTTTTATTTATTTATTTATTTTCAGTTTTTGGTTGGGGCCGGGTTTGAACCCACCACCTCCGGTATATAGGTCTGGCTCCCTACTCCTTTGAACCACAGGTGCCACCCCCATTTGAGCTTTTAAATGTTTTTTTGATGTAACTTGTTGATTAGTTTCAGAAATGTATATAAGAATATAGCTGTCTGGAGGCTTAGAAAATCTGGTATGTCTTAATGTTGGAGAATTTTATTTTGGGGTCATTTTAGTGTTAGATTTTCATTAGTAAACCTCTCATCTCTCATGTGGGGAAAACCTTGAAAGTGTAGGTCTATATGTTAAATCCAGAACTAACTGGAGGATGGTTGTTTGGTGTCTTTGTTACTTAGTTTTGGGGTAATTTTTTAAAAGTTTTTAAATTTTTTTCTTTTTTTTAGAGACAGGGTTTTGCATTGTTGCCTAGACTGATTATGAATTCCTGGTCTTGAGTAATCCGTCTTCCTTGGTCTCTCAAGGGCTGGGATAAACATGTGAGCCAATTTGCTAAATTCTTTTCCTAGAAAATTCATATGATTTGCTTCTCTTTGTTAATGAAATTACTATATATTCTAAGAGTCTTTTTATGGCTTTAATTTGAAATGTATCTCTTCCTCTTTATAAATTATTATTTGGGGTATAATCTGAAGACTCTCTTGGTATTCCTTCTTGACCTGAGAATAATTTCTGTTTTGGTTTCATGGCTATTTTTTTTTTTTGCTTTGTTTCATATTCCCATTAATCTTATTTGCATTTTCTAATACTTCTTCAACATATTTAAAAACGACAAAGTAAGTTCTACTTTCTATACATCCGAATCTGCCATCTTCCAGTATTTGTGGAAGAATTCCTCAATTGTTTTAGTTGAAATGTTCCAAAGATGTTTTTCCAAGTTACAGTTAAAACGGCACATTTGGTAAAGATCCAATACTACATTCTCATTAACATAGGAAAAAGAAAAAATGTGCATTTTTTAGTAATTGTCTATTCTAGACAATCATGTACTATCCATTTTGTTGCTTA